AAGGCTGACGTTTCGGGCCTAGACCCTTCATCAGAACCCGAAACGTCAGCCTTTCTGCTCCTATGATGTTGCTTGGCCTGCTGTGTTCATCCAGCCCTGCACCTTGTTGTCTCGGATTCTCCAGCATCTGCAGTTCCTACTATCTCTCAATTTTCTATATCTTTATCTATCTATAAATGTAATCTGATGCATTGTGTGATAAAATGGTTGTATAACTATTGAATTCTTCCTATGACTAGGTGGTGTGTGGACAGAACTGTACGTTCCTCGTTCAAGCAAATGGGACAGTTGTAGCTTTTGGGGAAGGTAGTTATGGACGCTTGGGTCAAGGAAATTCTGATGACCTCCACACTCCTACGGTTATTGCAGCATTGCAGGGTAAGCACATGCAGACTTATAATTTTTTATACTGTTAAGATTTTGCTTCATGCACCATTAACTACCCAAAGGAAATCAGGAGGGCAAAGAGGAGACACTGGAAAACTTTAGCAAATAGAGTTAAGGAGAATCCAAAGAGATTGTATAAGTACATTAAGGGCAAAAGAGTAACTAGAGAGCAAATAGGACCCCTTACACATCAAAGTGGCCATCGATGTGTGAAACCACAGGAGATAGGTGAGATACTAAATGAATATTTCTCATCAGTATTTATGGTGGAGAAGGACATGGAAGCTAGGGTACTTGGAGAAATGAATCGTGATGTCTTGAAATGAGATCATATCGCAGAAGAGAAGGTGCTGAAGGTCTTAAAGTATAGATGAATCCCTGAGACCTGATCAGATGTTTCCTAGAACTTTGTGAGAAGCTACCAAAGAGATTGCTGGGCCTCTAGCTGAGATATTTGTATCATCAACAGCCATGTTTGAGGTGCCGGAAGTCTGGAGGATGGCTATTATGGAAGCATAATGTCACAAAAGCCAGGGAACTATAGACCAGTGAGCATTAAGTCAGTGGTGGTTAAATTGTTGGAGTGGATTCGGAGGGACAAGATTCACATACATTTGGAAAGTTGCGTAAGGATTAGAAATAGTCGACATGGCTTTGTGTGGGAAATCGTGTCTCACTAACTTGATTGAGCTTTTTGAAGAGGTGACAAAAGCAGAATAGTAAACATTGTCTGTGGGGACTAACAGCAAAACAATCAAGGTTCTGCATGGTGGATTAGATTACATGGGATCCAGGTGGATCTAATTGGATACAAAATTAGCTTGAAGGTAGGAGACGGGGTGGTGGAGGGATGTTGTTTGAACTGGAAGCCTGTGACCAGCGGTGTGCCACAAGGATCCATGCTGGGTCCACTGTGTTTCGTCATTGATATAAATGATTTGGATGTGAGCACAGGAGGTATGGTTAGTAAGTTTGTGATGACATCACACTTGGTGGTGTAGTGGACAGTGTGGAAGATTACCACAGAGTACAACAGAACATTGATCAGATGGGCCAATGGACCGAGGAGTGGCAGATGGAATTTAATTTTGATAAATGTGAGGTGTTGCATTTTGATAAGGTAACTGAGGGCAGGTCTTATACAGTTAATGGTAGGGCCCTGGGGAGTATTGCTGAACAAAGAGACATGGTTCTTTGACAGTGGAGTTGCAGGTAGACACGGTGGTAAAGGTGGTGTTTGGCACCTTGCCTTCACTGGTCAGAACATTGGGTATAGGATGTTGGGATATCATGCTGCATATAATTCTGGTCGCCCTTCTATAAGAATGATATTGTTAAACTTGAGAGGGTGTAGAAAAGATTTACAAGGATGTTGCTGACACTGGAGGATTCGAGCTATAGTGAGAGACTGAATAGGCTGGGGCTATTTTTCCCTGGAGCTTCAAAGGCTAAGGGATGACCTTATAGAGATTTATAAAATAATGAGGGGTAAGGACAGGGTAAATAGCCAAGGTCTTTTCCCCAGGGTAGTGGAGTCCAAAACTAGAGGGTATAAGTTTGAGGTGAGAGGGGAAAGATTTAAAAAGGACTTGAAGGGTAACTTTTTCATGCAGAGGGTGGTGCGTGTATGGAATGAGCTGTCAGAGGAAGTGGTGGAGGCTGGTACAATTACAATATTTAAAAGGCATCTGGATGGGTAAATGAATAGGAAAGATTTAAAGGATATCAGCCAAATGCTGACAAGTGAGACTAGATGTCTGATCAGCAAGGGCATTTTGGACTGAAGGGTCTGTTTCTGTGTTGTATGACTGGCTTTGGATTGCCGTTCAATGAGATTATCCTGTATCTTGGCATTATAGTTGAGTGAGGACCTTTCAATAAAATCAGCAGGGATTTCTGGCCTTGACGGACTTGTCCTACACACACACTTACCACCATCTGGGCAAAATCGTAGAATTAAAGAAGTGTTACAATGCAAAAGAGGCTATTCAGTCCATAGTGTCTACACTAGCTCTCCAAATAAGATTCACCATTTAGTCCCCTTCTTCTGCCTTTTCTCCATGTCCTTACATATTGTTTCTATTTAAAGAATCCTCTACTGCCCTCTCGAATGCCTCAATTAAACCAGCCTCCTCCATACTTCAAAACAGTGCATTCCAGGCCTAAACCACTCAGCATGAAAATATTATATTCTTGCATCATATTTGCATCATTTGCAAATCACTTTTTTAAATTCATTCAGAAGATGTGGCCATCATTGGTTTGGCTAGCATTCATTGACCATCCCTAATTTGCCCAGAGTAGGTTGATAACCAGTCACATTGCCGTATTAGAGCCATAGTGCATGGTAACAGGTGCTTCAGCCTGACCAGGCTTCCTGTACTGAATCAGTCCCATTTGCCTGTGTTTGGCCCATATCCTTTCAAAGCTTTCCTATCCATGTACCTGTCCAAATGTCTTTTAGATGTTGTAATTGTACCCACCTCTACCACTTCCTCTGGCAGCTCGTTCCATATACACACCACCCTCTCTGTGGAAAAGGTTGCCCCTCAAGTCCCTTTTTAAATCTTTTCCCCTCTTACCTTAAACCTGGATCTGAAGTCACATGTAGGCCAGACCAGGTAAGGATGGCAGATTTCCTTCCTTGAAGGATGTTAGTGAGCCAGATAGGTTTTATTTTCAAAGGACAATAGACAATATTTTCATGGTCATCAGTAGGTTCTTGATTCCAGATTTGTTTTTTGATTGAATTCAAAATACCCACCTGCTATGGTAGAAATGTGTGCCTTCCTGCGCTAGATTTTACGAGTAGCAACAGTTTCTTCCAATCTATCCAGACTCCTCATAATATGGAAATCTTCAATCAAATCTCCTCTTAGCCTTTTTCTGTCCAAGGGGAATCATCCCAACCTCTCCAGTCTATCTTCATGACTGAAGATGCTCATCCCTGGAACCATATTTGTAAATCTCTTCTGCATTTCCTCCAATGCATTCACCTCCTTCCTGAAATATGGTATCCAGAGCTGTATACAATATTCCAGCAACATCTAACAAGTGATTTATACAATATCAGTATCACCTCCTTGATTTTATATGCTATGTGCCTATTAATAAAGCTCAGAATGCTGTATGCTTTCTTAGCTGCTCTCTCCACCTGTCCGGCCACCTTCAATGATCTGTACACACACACACCCGTTTCCATGTCCTCTGGAAACTCTTTAAAACTGTACCCATTATTTTGTATTGCCTGTTCATGTTTTTCCTGCCAAAATGCATCACTTAACACTTGCATTGAACTTCATCCCATCTATCTGCACATTCCCAACTTGAATATATCCTTTTGAAGTTCAACATTGTCCAAGTTTTGCATCATTTACAAGCTTTGAAATTGCCCCCTGCACACTAAGATCTAGATCATTTGTATGTATCAGGCAAAGCAAGGTTCCCAGTATTGATCCCTGGAGAAATTCACTACAAATCTTCCTCCAGCCCTAAAAATATCCATTGATCGTTGCTCCCTCTTTTCTATCCCTCAACCAATTTTGTTTCTGTGTTGTAACTGTCCCTTTTATTCTACAAGCTATAACTTTTCTCACAAATCTGTTGTGTGGCACTGTATCAAATGCTTTCTGGAAGTCCACGGACACTACATCTGCAGCATTGCTCTCACCAACCCCTGTCATTAACCTCTTCAAAAAAAAAAAAACTCCAGCGAGTAGTTAAACAGGATTTCCCCTTTAGAAATCCATGCTGGTTCTTCCTAACCAATCCACCATGCAACTACTAATGCTGTCCTGAATAGTTGTTTCTAAATCTTTCACACCACAGAAGTTAAAATTGTAATTCTAAGTACCAGTTTACACCCAGTGCTTGTTGTGTATTACCTTGATTTTCGGCAACCTCTAGTCCCTATGAAATCAGGGCTAAATTGTTGAACTTGAGGTGAAATACCAAAAATATGGAAATAATTCCTGGCATAGTGTCATACAATGTTTTTCTGAACTTCCATAAAATAGATGTAGAGAAATGTGTGTAATTATAATTCAGATATTTTCTGACTAAATATTCTAATGTTTTTACTTTATTAATGTGTGAAGCGGTTTTGCTTTGTGGCATAATATTTGTGGATATAGGTCATATTGTTTCAGAGCATTGCATCCCATGTTTCCTCATTGACCAATCTTTTGCTTTTGGTTGCAGCAAAAGTCCTCATTGCTCTGCTCTGTTCCTTTTCCAGGTTATGTTGTAACTCACTTAGTCACTTCATGTGGATCAGATGGTCATTCTATGGCTTTAACTGAGAGTGGTGAAGTTTTCAGCTGGGGAGATGGTGATTATGGAAAGCTTGGACATGGAAACAGTGAAAGACAGCGCAGACCTAGACAAATTGAAGCACTGCAGGGAGAAGACGTAGTGCAGGTATACCCATATTATTCACTCGGTGAAAAGAAGAGAGGAACTATTTTTGATTAAGAGTTTTTATATTGTTCTCTTCCCTGTACTCTCATCACTTGCCATCTGTGGCTAATGGGGTGGGATGCAGACTTACTTTAAAGGCCAGGAATGGCGTGGAATAAGATATCTCAGGTTTTCTTCAAGCAGCCCCATCCTCAATCCTCCTTAAGTGAAAATATCTGTCCCACAGTAGCATGGCTGAGAGGGCTCATTTTCTGAGAAATTTCAAAATGTGTTCAACCCTATATATAACAGTACATAGCACTCCAGCCCCATTATCCATCAAGCTGATGAAACCTTTTGTAACCTTTGAAATAGAATAGTATTTCAAGATATACTTCCATTTAAATCATTCGCAAAAAAAAATTAATGGAATGGTCTTTCCTTCTTTTGGACAGCTGTCTTGTGGATTTAAGCATTCAGCTGTGGTAACAGCTGATGGAAAACTTTTCACATTCGGGAGTGGAGATTATGGAAGGTTGGGCCTCAGGAGTACATCTAACAAAATGCTACCTGAAAAAGTGACTGCACTGGAGGATTACTCAATAGGACAGGTACTGGAACCTCATTGATCCAAAAGTTGAATATAAGGTTATATGAATAGGGTCACGTTAGTGCAGAAAGAATTTTTTTTTTTGCTTTTAAATATTCTAATGGAACCTGTGATACAGAGCCTATTTTCTATTTGCTAAATAAAAAAAATACATGCTGTCTTCAGTCATAGAAGTTTTCTGCAACATGTGTAGATGATGGTTAAAAAAAAATGTTCTGGATTTCATTTCTTTTAAACCCTTCAGGCTTCTTTATACTGCTTTCCTTTCAGAATCCTCCTCAAAAAAAAATTCCTTTCTTACCAAGAGTTTGGTCAACCTATCTTTGGCTTGACATTCATTTGCTTTCCTGTGGTCTCTGCGAAATCTTGTCATTTTTGTTTGCTATTCTAAAGGAACTTAAATATATTCTAACAGTTGTGATACGAGAGAAAGGCTGAACTTGCATAATTCAGATCCTTAATGAAGTGATAAAATGGTGAAATTTATTATGTACTTGAGTGTAGTAGCCTGTGATTTGATAAACGTACATTAGCTTCTGATTTCAATTTTAATTGTAATTAAATTCTACCCTTATTTTAACTTCCTATCCACTACTTTTATGTTACCTGAAACTTGTCTAAAAATTAGTGCATAATTATTATATGGCTGCAAGTTTTTAACTTGATTACTTAGTCTATGTTTTTTTTTAACGTAAGCTATGCTGCAGTTCAGCTTTCAACTTAAGAATATATTTCTTGAATAAAATAACATTATTGTTTCAAGAAATCCCAAATTGCCACAGGCCATTGAGTATTTTTGAAGTGCATTTGTTTTAAGGTAAAATGATGTGGCAACTAAATAGCACACATTGTTCCATAAACAGTGGACCATTTGTTTTGGAACTGTTATTTGATGCATAAGTAATGGTTAAAGCATTCTGATCTTCAATGAGTAGTGCCATGGGATCATCTGACTAGTTGGTGGAGATCATGAATCCTCAATTTAACATCACGTCCAGCAAGCCTGCATTTTCTGTACCAATATGTCGTTGTAAATTATGTGTTAAGTCTCTCGAGCACAACTTGAGCCCAAAACTTTATAACATGGACAAAACAACCTAAAGTTGACAACAAGTGATAACCATTAAACCAGACTATTTCCATTTTGTTTACTGCTTAATTGAGACTGATACATAAATGTTTTCTGCTCACATAGTTAAGTTTATCCAGGAATATGGGAAAGAGAATGGCAGAGGATTACTTTCTAGTATTATCTGGAAATATATGGAGCAGGAAAATAAATTGGACAGCTTTTTCAAGGAGCTAGTTTACGTTAAATGACTTCCTTCTGTGCTGCAAGATTCTTTCAATGATTTCTAGCATTAGTTATAGAATATAGTTCATTTCCAAAGATTTAATGACCAAATATTTAATTTTCATTGAGGACAAGTGTGGTTGAAAGCTCTAGGATTGTTAAGAGCAAGAAAAAAGTTGTATAGAGGTTTGATTGCTGGCTGCATTACTCATTCATTAATAAACTATTTCTATATTCATTTTATAAAGCAAAATTAGCACTTTCCTTTATTTCTTTAGGTTGCTTGTGGGTTGAATCACACTCTGGTCGTCTCATCAGATGGAATGATAGTCTGGTCATTTGGTGATGGAGACTATGGCAAATTGGGTTTAGGGGCTTGTACTGTTAAATGCTGTCCCCAGGTAAGAATATATCAGCCATTTTTTAGCCAACACATAAAACACAACTATGCTACCAATTTTTTTAAAAAAGTTTATTGGACCAATACCAGCTTAGGTTTTTTCAATAAAGTATTTGAAATATGTTTTGTCAAATTTGGGATTCTTTTAAAAAATTTATTTATCATAACTTGGATAGTTTATTATAGTGTAGCATCCAATAATAGTAGTGAATTGATTGTCTCCTTTCTTCTGGCATAACTGTTAGGATGGTATGTATATTATATAAAACCAGAATTTAAGGTTTGTCATGTAGTGCTTTAAAGTGGGGATAAGGTTAGTCTTGGATGGGTCGTCTTGACCATCCATAAGTTGTCTCTCCATAAGAAATGCACAGGCTCCAAGATTGGAGTGTAATTATTTGTCCCTATTTGCTCAAATTTCCCAGCCATAGTTAATAATATTGTACCATTCATTTACTTTTCCTCTGGTCTTGAATAACTAATCACATGGGTGAATTATTTGGAAATGGTTATTGCTTGATGTGAATAAAGTTTCTGTTCAAAATTAATTGAAATCTAACTTAATGCCATTCTAGGTATGTCATGATGACTAAAGTGGTTCAGATGTTCTTTGAATAGTGTGTACATTTTGTGGATTTTAGCTTAACTTGTCAATTTTTAAAATGTTGTTAGTTTCATACATTTGCAGAAAATGAAGAACTGTAGAGTCTTTGGAACTTTTTATTTTTGTTTTAATTGAGGGTTAAATTATGTGTTAATTCCTACTGTAAGAGGAAACTTTAATTACAAACATAATTGTAAATTTCCATGGGTACTTTGGTAGCACTCTTGCCTCTGAGTCAGAAAGTTATGTGGTCAAGTCCTATTCCAGGACAAAAGGTTCTGCTGGCATTCTAACACAGCCCTAAGAGAGCACTGTCTTTTGGGTGGGACAATAAACCGAGGCTCTGTCTGCCCCCTCAGGTGGATATAAAATTACCTGTGCCGTGCAGAAGAGCAATGGAGTTATCATTGATGTTTTTGCCAATTTTTTTTGTTTATCCCTTAATCAACATCATAAAAGTAGTTTGTCTGGTCATGCTCACATATCTGATTATGGGAGTTTCTTGTTGGCAAATTGGCCATCATATTTCCTGCATGACATTGGTTTAAAGGTACTTTGGTGCAGACTGAGGTTGTGAAAGGCACTATATTATCAGAGGTTTTTCATTCCTAATACCTATGATTTTATTATGCAGAAAATTGAAAATCTTTGTAATAAAGGAGTGAAGAAAGTAGCTTGTGGAACCCAGTTTTCTGTTGTACTGACAACGGATGGTCATGTGTACACTTTTGGACAAGGTACCTTTCTATCTCATACAGTCATGTCATTTGTTTTTATAATTAATAAAATATTTGTATCAGTTACACGTTACCTGAGTTCTTAGAGATAATGCATAATAGAATGGGTTTCACCTGTTGCGAGTTGATGGAAGGAGTGCTATGAAATCAAGCCCCACCTCTTCATGAGCCTAACCAAAAGAGCAAATGTCTTATTTAATCAACAAATTCATCAATTTATTTCTCCATTATAAGATCCAGAGCAAAGAGCGACTTTCACCATGTAACAAACTTATTCTTTAAACAAATGGCAAAAATCATTATTAATTAAGATACTGTGCAGATTTAAATGATAGCTTCTTAACCCTGCAAAAGTATACACAGGTGAGGCAACACAGCTCTACAGAGACAGTATGAGTGGGGAAAAACGTTAGGGAGAAACTTCTTTCAGGATCAAGTATCTCAACTAAAGAGGGTAGTAATAGTTGGCATCAGTTCTGATTCCCTGTTAACGAGATTAAGTTTCTGTTTACAGCAGTGTGATGGAAGGCACCAAGTTCATGTGGAAAGTTAGTTAGGCCTAAGCATTTGGATTGAGTTTACAGTTCAGCATTTAGTGTTTGAGGAGACCAGAGATATACTGATTTCTACAAATTACTCTGGTTCCCAGAAAATACTTCACTGTGATATTTCTTCAGCTAGTTTCTTTTCAGGGTTATATTTTATTCAAAGAGAGATAGACATGTTTTCTTTGTGCCCGCTTTCTTCCAGCTGCTACTTTTCAGAAGAAACAGAATTCCGAAAGCTTCAAAATCTGTAGCAATCAGAACAAAAGTCTAGAGGTTTTACTAGCCTAAGAACAACACAGGTCCTTGGGATTATCCAGGTCTGTTTGTCCAACAGTTAAGGGCAATAGAATGTACCTCTTGCCTCTTCGTAAAGGCTTTGCGAAATACTGCTTTTCAAAGTTATTTGCTTTTCTAGTAAACTGTAGATGACCCCATTTTTCTTTGAACTTTTTGACCTGAGTTCCACAAAGTCACATGGTAAACCCTTTGCAATCCAGGGAGTGTCCAAATCTTCAATTTCCCAATTTCTTGTAGTCCACAAATATGTTTCTAACACATGTAAGATGGTTACCAATGAGACCTATCAGCACTGTGCAACGGGAAAGCATTGGGCTACAAGACAAATGTTATAGAGATTAATGGTGAAAGCACTTCTGAAACATTGATGTAGTTTGACAAAAACTATACACTAAAAATGGCTATATTTGAAAGATTGAGAGAATAGTGACCAAGATGTTTATCGGGCTAAAGGGAGAAAATTATTTTTAAAAAATGTTTCAAGCAGCTAAACTTATTTTTGCTGTTAAATTAAGGAATATGGGATGTAGACTGAATACGGAATGAAAACACCCGGAAGCCACAACAAAGATTGGGGCGAAAAGAAACATTATTCTCCCCCTGCCCTACAGAACAGGTTATTGAAGCATACTTTTGAAGCCTTTAAAGAGAAACTGAAATTATATGATGTTAAGTGGGATAGGAAAATATTCAACAATTGCTTCATTATATTTTCAGGCGAACTGTGAAAGGAAATCAGTTTTCTTTTTAAAAAAAAAACAGATCAACAGATAGCGCGGAGAGGATGTAAGCAATAGAAAGCTGCTTTTGCTGCCACCATATCTGCAGGGGGTGCACTCACTATTCACATAGCCACTGTGCCTGCAATGTCACTGCTCATGCTGCCACAGAGAGCTGTCTGCATCAAAAAATAGGACCATCCATAATATTGAGTGATACCAAGATAGTTTAATACGTGCAGCATCAAACTCTTTAGCCGCACCATGCTGCGTCATAGGAAGAAGGCAGCAGAATGGAATCTTCACTTAGTGCCATTAAGAGAGCCAATGCACTATAACCATTCTGCAATTCAGAGAATGGTAAGAATATGGAACTTGCTTCCACAGGGAGTGATTGAAGTGAATAGAGTAGATGTATTTATTTTCTAGATACGCATAAGCATATAAAGGAGCAGGACTAGGTGGCTGCAGCAGTAAATTTAGATGGGAAGAGTCTCAACTGGAAAATAACCACCGGCCTGGCATGGAATGGTTTAACTGGATGGCGTGTTTTTGTGCCATGAATCCTAGGATCATTGTATGATGGCAAAATGACTCCAGAATTGTAACTGGGTCACTATGATTACATTACTCAAGGTGAAACATATCCCAACATGTAGGTGCAAAAAAAGTAAGTCACCAGTATTTCTGTTCTCCATCTATATGTCACATCATCTTTTTTTAAAACCAAACCTTGTAATTCTACTTTTTCTTAGCAATCTGCATTTAATTTTTTTTCTCCCTCAGCCACATCCTCTGCCTTGCAGTGGGTGGGTTTTAAAATCTCACTGGGATTGGACTGGGAGGCTCAGGGCTATGGAAGGAGCGACACAATAGGGAAGAAAGACTCCGGTTGGAGAGTCCTTCATCTTCCTGACTTGGCAGCAACCAGGCCAGGAAGGGTTAACAAGGAAGGTCTACAAGGACCTCTACAATTTACTGTACTTCTTTCTCGCTTGCACCTATCTGACCGGCCCTGGCTTACCCACTCCTCTTCCCACTTATTGGGGCTCCAGCAAAGATCCATCTCTTTGGGCCTACTGCAGTACAGCACTATTGCCACCTAGGAACTGCCAGGCTCTGAATGCCTAGTAGACCTTGGAGATGATGTAACGACCTGACCGACTTGCGAGACCAAGTGACAGGCAGGAGACTGCCCAATTGATTTTAAATTGATTGTGTTCAAGTTGTTGCTGACTGCTCTCTACCAGTGATGGGCCCACTTTTGTGACCATTGCATTATGCCCATTCTTTGTACTCTGCCAAACTGGGAACTTCCTTCCTTTCCCCTTAATATTATATGAAACATCGCGAAGGACCAGCTCCCTCATCCTGAACGTAAACAGAAATTCATAATTTTGGTGAACAAAACTGAGAATCACTGATGTCAAATTAAAAACTATTTTGCCACCTAGGAAGATTTTTTTCTGAATACTCCATTTTTACCTTCAGAACGACTTATAGGTTTGCCGGATTCAATGCTGCGGAATCACAATCGTCCACAGCAAGTCCCAGCATTAGAAGGAATGTTTGTTGAAGACATTGCAGTGGGATCGGAACATACACTGGCTTTGTGCTCTACTGGGGATATGTATGCCTGGGGATGTAATGCTGAAGGCCAGGTAGGACAGCTAAGTATAATATTAATTTATTTCATACTCAGAAATATCTCCTCCAGTTTGACAGTTTGTTATGTTAGAATTAATTCAAGTTGATATCCAATTTCGTCAATATACTATTAAAATAATTTTAGAGATTCAAGTTTGATGCTCGTTTGGCTCACAGATTAGAACCAGTTAGTTATACTAAACAGCACAAACAAGAAAATCCAGATTTGATTCAGTGTGTTGAGTTTCTGATCTCTTTCAGGCAGCAGTTGGAGCATTGTGATTGGCTCAACCAATTTGTTAGGACAATGAACAATCAACCAGAGTTCCTACTAATCAATGCTATGCAGTGACCCCAATTAAAAAGAAGCATGTTTGCAAAGTTTCATTCCCACATGTCAGGGTCTGTTGCAGATTTATTTATCTTATTCTTGCATTGTTTAGTCAATAGCTCAGTTATTATTTTATTCAATGACCACCAGAATAGTATAAGACAAACAAATTGTACTATGGATTGCATTGTTCTTTGGCGCAGATTTTCGTCATGACAGGGAACATCTTTGCCATGACAAAAATGCCAGAAAAAGTCGGGAATCCCACCAACAAGCCCAGCATCGCTCATTTTCACAAGGGCAGGATTCAGTACAGTTCATACTTCCCATGCATCAGCTGCCCTTGTCCTGCTAGGTGGTAAATATTGAGTGTTTGGAAAGTGTTGTTGTAGGAACAAAAACAGAAATTGCTGGAAAAGCTCCAAGTCTGGTAGCATCTGTGAAGGGAAATTAAAGTTAACAGTTCGGGTCCAGTGACCCTTCCTCAGAACTAATGGTGGCTAGGAAAATGTCAGCTTATATGCAGAAGATAGGGTAGGGGGAGAGGGTAAGGAGTAAACTATGCTTGGGGACAGAGCCCAAAGAGGGAGAACAATTGGACAGACAAAGGAGTTGATAACGATCTGGCTAGAAGGGCAAATAGCTGTTAATGGACACTTAGTAGCTAACAGTAGGTAATGCGTAATGGAAAAGCTCAGCAGGTCTGGCAGCATCTGTGAAGGAAAAAACAGAGTTAACGTTTCAGGTCCGGTGACCCTTCCTCAGAACCCGAAATGTTAACTCTGTTTTCTCCTTCACAGCTGCTGCCAGACCTGCTGAGCTTTTCCAGCAACTTTGTTTTTGTTCTTGATTTACAGCATCTGCAGTTCTTTTGGTTTTTTATTAGGTAATGTGTAATGGCAGGTAATGTGTAATGGCAGGCTATGTGATAACAAGGCCTGGTCTGTGTGTGGTACAGAGCTAGGACATTGGAGAGTTCAAGCCTTAAAATTATTGAATTCGATGTTGAGTCCAGAGGGCTGCAGGGTCCCCAAGCGGAAAATGAGGTGTTGATCTTTGAGCTTCTGCTGAGCTTCGCTGGAACACTGTAGCAAGCCTGAGACACAGATGTTGGCCAGGGAACAGGGTTATGTGTTAAAGTGGCAACTGGTAGCTCAGGGTCTTTTTTGCGAGCAGAACCTCGATGTTCTGCGAAGCGGTCACCCAGTCTATGCTTCGTTTCCCCAATGTAAAGGAGACTACATTGTGAGCAGCAAATACAGTAGACTAGATTCTGGGAAATGCAGGTAAAGTGCTGCTTCACCTGGAAGGTATGTTTGGGTACTGAGGATACTGAGGAAGGAGGAGGTAAATGGGCAGGTGTTAAATCTTTTGCTGGTTGCAGGGAAAGGTGCTGTGGGGCTGTGGGTTGGTGGGGGGTTGGGAGTTAAGGAAGAGTGGACCAGGGTGTCCCAGAGGGAACAATCCCTCCTGAAGGCAGACTAGGGAGTGGAGGGGAATATGTGTCTGGTGGTGGCATTTCGCTGGAGGTGTCAGAAATGGCGTCTGATCGTCTTCTGGAGGTGGATGCTGGTGGGATGGTAGGTAAGGACAAGGGGAACCCTATCGCTGTTGCGGAAGGGAAGAGAAGGGGTGAGGGCAGAAGTGCAGGAGATGGGTCAGACCTGGTTGAGGGCCCTGTCGACAACGGAGCGGGGGAATCCTTGGTTGAGGAAGAAGGTGGATATTTCGGAAGATCCCTTGTCAACGTTAGTCTCATTGGTACATATGCGATAGAGATGGAGGGACTAAGAGAATAGAATGGATTTTTTATACAAAGCAGGGTGCGAGGATGTATAGTCCAGGTAGCTGTGGGAGTCAGTGGATTTGTAGTGAATATGAGTGGCCAGTCTGACCCCAGAAATGGGAACAGATGTCAAGGAAGGGAATGAAGGTATCTGCATAGACCAGGTGAAATTGAGGGCAGTGTGGAATTTGGAAGCAAAATTGATTAAATTTTCCAATTCCAGATGAGAGAGGGAAGCAGCACTGGTGATATCATCGATATATTGGAGAAAGAGTTGTGGGTGAGGGCCTGAATAGAACTGGAACAAGGGATGTTCCACGTACCCCACGAAGAGACAGGTATAACAGGGGCCAATGTGTGTACCCATGGCCACCTCTCTGACCTGAAGAAAATGAGTGAAGTTAAAAGACAAATTGTTGAGGGTGAGGATGAGCTCAGCCAAACGGAGGAGGGTGGTGGTGGGTGGGAACAATTCAGGCCTTTGCTTCAGGAAGAAATGGAGAGCTCTGAAACCCTCCTGGTGGGGATTGGATGTGTAAAGGGATTGCATGTCCATGGTAAAGAGGAGGTGACTGGAGCCTGCAAACTGGAAGTTTTGAAACTGGTGTAAAGCATCAGAAGAATCACAGATGTACATGGGCTGGGACTGGACGAGGGGAGAAAAGACTGATTCAAGGTAGGAAGAGATGAGTTTTGTAGTGCAGGAGCAGGCTGAGACAATGGGTCTGCCCAGGCAGTCCTGTTTGTGGATTTTTGAAAGGAGGTAGAAGCGAGCTGTGCGGGGCTGGGGGACCATCAGGTTAGAGGCAGTGGAGGGGAGATCACCAGATGAAATGGGGTCGGCTTACGTAGTTGATACAATGCTTAACGTGTCATGGTGGGGTCATGGTCCAGGGGAAGATAGGAGGAGGTATCTGAGGACTGACACTCAGCCTCTGCAATGTAGATATCGACACACCAGACTACAACAGCACCACCCTTATCGGCAGGCTTAATAACAAAGTCAGGGTTGGATCTAAGTGCACAAAGTGCAGTCAGTTCTGAGGGAGTTAGGTTGGATTAGGTCAGGAGGGCAGGGACATTGTGGTGACCGGTGTCACGTCGACAGTTCTCGAAGAACAGATCGAGTGCAGGTAAAAGGTCAGAGGGATGGGTCCAGGTGGAGGGAGAGTGTTGGAGGTGGGCGAAGTGGTCCGTGGGATGGGGAGAGGACTCTTGCCCAAAGAAATGGGCGCAGAGGTGAAGATGGCGGAAGAAGAGTTCAACATCATGTTGCGCCCAAATTTTGTTAAACTGGGGATGCAGCAGGATAAAGCTGAGACGTTTGCTGAATGTTTTGTGCTCAGCATCGGAGAGCAGAAGGTTAGGAGGGATGGTGAATACCCGACAGGTGGTGGGGTTGGGGGAGGGGATCAAGTCCAAGGGAAGGGGAGGAGAGGAAGGTTCCAGAGGGCCATGGGTATATCTGAGTTGTTGCATCTTGTGGGCCTTGATGCCTGAAAGGAAAAGGAAAAGTTTCTTATTAGCACAAAGAATGAGCTGGAGGATGAAGTGGAACTGCGGAGTGGTGCAGCCCTGAGCCAGTGTGATGCAATGCTGTTGGAGAGAAAGGTCGAGAGTGTGCATGTGACACCGCATGGCACTTGGGATGCAGTGAGAGCAGCTGTCTATGAAATGTTCAATATCAGAGAGATACCTGTGGTCCTGGGTGGATTCAAAGCGTGAGAGTTGAACCTTCAGTTGGAATCCATGTAAGGCAATTCTGAGCTGTAGGCAGTCACTGAGGAATGTGATATAGCTGTGGAAACGCGATTTACCAAACTCCTGGTCAAACACCAGGAGTGATAATGAAATTAATGTCGGTGGTCAAGAAAAAAAGATTGGAACAGAAATCCCATCGGAGCAGAACTTCTTCAAGATGGGCATGCCTAGAAGAGATGTAGCAGTGAGGTAAACACTAAATACAAATCGAAATAACTGCAGATGCTGTAAACCAGGAACAAAAAACAGTAATTGTCGGAAAAGCTCAGCAGATCTGACAGCATTTGTGAAGAGAAATCAGAGTTAACATTTCGGATCCAGTGATCCTTCCTCAGAACTGATGGTAGCTAGGAAAATGTCAGTTTATATGCAGCAGATAGAGTGGGGTGAGAGGATAAGGAGTAAACGATAGGTGGGAATAGAGACCAAAGAGAGAGAAGAACAGTTGGATCAACAAAGGAGTTGGTAATGATCTGGCTAGGAAGGTGAATAGCTTTTAATAGACACTGTTAGTGGCTAACAATAGGTAATGTGTAAAGGCATGCTATATGATAACAAGGCCTGGTGTGTGTGGTAGGGGTGTTACGTCATGGGAGAATTCAAGCCCTAAAATTATTGAACTCGATACTGAGTCCGAAGGACTGCAGAGTCCCCAAGAGGAAAATAAGGTATTCTTCTTCCAGCTTGCGCTGAGCTTTGCTGGGACACTGCAGCAAGCCCAAAACATTAAGTCTGCTTTTTTTTTCCACAAGTGCTGCCAGACCTGCTGAGCTTTTCCAGCGACTTCTGTTTTTATCCCTGATTTACAGCATCTGCAGTTCTTTCGGTTTTTGTTGTCCTAGGAACCTTGGTATGTTACTGCAATGCATCATGCAGGTGGTACACAGTCGCCACGGCAATGCCGGTGGTCAGAGTGAATGTTAAAGGTTGTGACTGAGGTGCCGATCAAATGGGCTACTTCATGCGAGATGGTTGTCGAGCTTCTTGAATATTGTTGGAGCTGCACCCGTCCAGTCAGGTGGAGAGTATTGCATCATCTCCAAGATACACTGCAGAAATTCACCAAGTCATCCTAGACAGCACCTTCCAAATCCCAGATCGTTGGGAATTCAGCAATAGTAATGTCATTGACCATCAAGGAAAGACATTCTGTATAGTTGGAGATGGCCATTATCTGGTACTTGTGTGATGCAAATGTTACTTGCCACTTATCAGCACAAGTTTGGATGTTGTCCAGGTCTAGCTGCATGTGGACACAGCTTCAATATCTGAAGAGTTACAAAAGGTTCTGAATACTGTGCAATCATCAGCAAACATCCCCATTTCTGATCATTCAATGGTGGAAAGAACATTAATGGAGCAACTAAAGATAGTTGAGCCTAGGACATTACCATGGGGAACTCTCGCAGACCTGTCCTGCGACTAAGAAGATTTACCTTCAATAGTCGTAACTTCCTTCCTTTGTGCTAGGTATAGCAAATAGGAGGGAGGTTTTCTTTTCACCCAGTTAGCATTGACTTCAGTTTTATCAGCAATGCCATGCCAAATCGATATTGAGAGCAGTCACTCTCACCTCACTTCCGACATTCAGCTCTTTTGTTCACATTTGGACCAAGGCTGTAACAAGGGCAAAAGGTGATTGGACGTGGCAAAACCACAACTGGGCATCATTGAGCAGGTTATTGTTGAAAATGCTCCTTGATAGTACTGTTGGCAACTTCTTATATCACTTTTTGCTGATGACTGGAGTAATGATTTTAATCGCGAAAGCTGTTCATAAGTATGGATGGAGTTTTAATAAAATGCTAGATATTTCCAAATTCTTGTTGATATAAAACTTATAGGATTTGTGTTGTATAACTATTTTCCCAATCTACCATTTTCACAAGAGGACGCACAAGAGAAATGCCCAGCATTATAGAGGTTTATAAAATCATGAGGGGCGTCGATAGGGTGCATAGCTAAAGTTTTTCCAAAACTAGAGGGCATAGCTTAAGATGAGAGGGAAGAGTATTAAAAGGGACCTAAGGGGTAACTTTTTCATGCAGAGAGTGGAACATATATGGAATGAGCTGCCAGAGGAAGTGGTGGAGGCTGGTTAAGTTACAACATTTAAAAGGCATCTAGATGGGTACATAAATAGGAAGGGTTTAGAGGGATATGGGGCAAATGCTGGCAAATGGGACTAGATCAGTTTCGGATATCTGGTTGGCATCAACCAGTTGGACTGAAGGGTCTGTTTTGGTGCTGTACAACTCTATATGATTCAAGAAGGATTCTCCTTCTCAACTTCTCTCACCTGATGAGTAGTGACCCTTAGGTTAAGTGACACCAGTTGTATCTCTCATCTGGTGACCTTACTTTTTTTATTTGGAGGAGTTTGAGTACTTTGATTTTTGTTATTTTTGATGATGAAATCTTCATTAAGTAGGTAATATTGTTCTGTCCACTTGCTCCTGAGGTATGCCCATAATGGATACTGAGTAAATTGGTATGGAGCAGAAGAGCAGTAGTACAGTTGGCATTGGCACTGTAAAGGGCTAATGAGATGCATGGGGTCATTGGAAGTATGAGGAACAATGGTAGATGGATAAATGGCATGCGTGAATGTGAGCAGTAGTGGGTGATCTGAATAGAGTGCCATAGATTGTTATGTTGAGTATGTGGCATGGGATAGCATGACTGGTGCATGGAGAGTGAGGGGTGGTGCTAGAGTTGGAGGGATGTTTTATGTTTTACTCTTTTTATTTTTGACATTTTAACACAGGGCCAGAGCACCGAGGCAGACTTTCTGTCCAATCCACCTTGGGAACTGGCAGACTTCTGTGCTGTTCCATGGTCATGTGACCTGACTCCCAGACCAAACATAGGAAGTGCTGAACCATTTTTAAGTTTGGGCTTGAGGATTCAGAATTTATCCTGCTTTTGTACACCTGACGCAGGATTGAAAATTGCGCCTTTATGTTTGACATTCTTTATATTTCCAGTACTTGGACTTTTGTTTTAGACCAAATTGCACAGTTAACCACACTGTTTGAAAAAAGGAGATAGAAAAGATACACAATTATAAACTGGTTGGTCTGACATCGATAGCAGGGAAAACGTTAGAGTCCGTTATGAAAGATTTCACAGCAGAACACTTGGAAAATGATGACAGGATTGGACAGAGTCACCGTGGATTTATGAAACGGAAATCGTGCTTAACAAGTCTCCTGGACTTTTTTGAGAATGTGTCTAGTGGAGTTTATAACGGAGAGCCAGTTGAGTGAGTGGGTAAATGCATGGCAGATGAAATATGAAATATGATATGGATAAATGAGATTATCCACTTTGGTAGCAAAAACAGGAAGGCAGATTATTATCGGAAAGGTTGGAAATGGGGACAATGCAACAAGACCTGAATGTCTGTGGTTTCCAGTCTCTGAAAGTAAATAGGTACGATAGGCGGTAAAAAAAGGCAAACGGTATTTTAAGATAGGGAACTGCAGATGCTGGAAGTCTGAAACAAAACAGGAATTGTGGGAAAAATTCAGTACCTCTGGCAGTATCTATGGAGAGATGGCAAAGTTAATGTTTCGGGTCTACTGACCCTTCAGAGCTGGCAAATGGTATGCAGGCCTTCATAGTGACTGGATTTGAGTACTGGAGCAGTGATGTCTTGCTGCAATTAGACAGGCCTTTGGTAAGACCCCACCTGGAGTATTGTGTGCACTTTTGGCCTCCTTATCTGAGGAAGGAGTCTCTGACTATGAGGAAATGTGACAAAGGTTTACCAGACTGATTCCTGGGATGGCAAGACTGACATACAAAAATAACTGGATCAGTTAAAACTATTTGCACTGGAGTTTAGAGGAATGAGGGTAGTCTCATAGAAACTTATAAAGTTCTAACAGGCCTAGACAGGGTAAATGCAGGAGGACGTTCCTGATTACTGGAGACTCCAGAACCAAGGGTCACAATTTAAGGATATGTTAGGCCACCTGGACTGAGATGAGGTGAAATTTCTTCACCCAGAGATTGGTGAGCCTGTCTTATTTTCTTGCCATAGAAAGTGTTTGGGGCCAAACAAAAATGTTTTCAATGAGTTAGATGTAGGTCTTTGGGCTAAATGGATCAAAGGATATGGGGAGAAAGTAGAAATGTGGAACTAAGTTGGTTGATTAGCCATGTTTATATTGAATAGTGGTGCAGACTTAAAGAGCCAAAAGGCCTGTTATTTTTTTTTTATGTTTCAACATTAAAGTCTTGATAATTGTGTTGTTAACAGTTCCTCAATTACCTAATTTTTATGTAGCTATGTTGTAAGTTAGTACATTTTCAATCTCCTTTCTGCAGCTTGGTCTAAACCATACCAACCAAGTAAAAGAGCCAACGCTGGTTGCTACACTTCGGGGGAAGAATATTCGTCAGATTTCAGCTGGTCGATGTCACAGTGCTGCATGGACCACACCCCCTCTTTCAGCTTCAACTCCAGGTAATGTAGTATACTAATCTTGTAACGCAACTGTGAGGCTCTTGTGGAGCAGTGGTAGTGCCCTTACCTGAGAACCAGGAGGACCAGGCTCAAGTTCCACCTGCCCTAGATATTTGTCTTAACAAATGGATTAAAGTGTTTCCAATGCTGACCCCTGGAGACTGCAGTGGAGACTTCTCCAGTAAGGAAAGTACCTGTAATAAACCGACGAAATTGCAAAATCATTTGGAACGTTCTGTGGGATTAGATTTGTAATTTACAAGTATTTATGTACTGTTGCAAAGAGCTAGAAACTGTCAAATATAATGGATTCTAGTGAATGCATGTTAGAACAATGTTTAACTAAAATGCCATTTGATTGTCATGACATTAAAATTGGAAGAACATTGGTTTTGAATGTGTTCCTTTTCCCTCTGAGATCTCTCCTTTTCCTGTGTTCCCTCTCATGTATTTTGCTTGTTTGAGCACCACACTGCAGCTTTAATGCCTCAACAAGTATCCGTGAAACTGGACTTGCAGGGTGGACCCCAGATGCCAATTGAGGCTTGTAAATACCCTCTTACGTAGAGAGATTCCTTGATGGAAGAAGAGAACCAACATCAGAAAGTAAGGTTGAATGGAGACCATCTTCCTTTTACTCAAACTCTCTTCCTTCCCCACACTGGTGACCCCCATCCTGCAACACTTATTCTATCCACACTCAATTCTATCTGGAGATCCTGCAGAAATCTTTAAGGTCGGTTTATTGTACCGGCAGTGGTCTCTGTGCCCAATGACTGACAGTACCTATATTAAAGTGGCTCAGTCGTTAGCACTGCTGCCTCACAGCACCAGGGACCCGGGTTCAATTCCATACCCAGGTGAGTGTCTGTGTGGAGTTTGCACAATTTCCCCGTGTCTGTGTGGGTTTCCTCCAGGTGCTCCAGTTTCCTCCCACAGTCCAAAGATGTGCAGGCTAAGTGGATTGGCCATGCTAAATTGCCCGTAGTGTTCAGGGATGTGTAGATTAGGTGTGTTATAGGAGGATGGTTCTGGGTGGGATGCTCTGAAGGTCAGTGTGGACTTGTTGGGCCGAAGGGCCTGTTTCCACACTGTAGGGATTTATGATGATGATCTATGATCTAAAGAACTGGCAGATTTTGTTGTTCGGGTGTAGGTTGGTGACAGGATTTCCGCCCTGTTGAAGCCGCCTTTGTGTGAAAGGCCTGATGATGTCAGACAAAAGCCTTATTGCCCTTACAGTTGTAATGGGCTTTCTGGAGAGAAATAATGCACTGTTCTCATTGTTTCTCTGATCAACGGAAAACACTTCAGTCGAACGGATTAATTTCCGTCTATTGTTCTGAAACTCTAAAGACAAATTTTTCACAAAATAGGTACGACGGCTGGATTTTAAAAAATAAGCAAATAATTATTATTGTTGAATTTAAAACAATAATTTGCTTTTTTTTAAATCGAAGGTAACACCATTCCTGTTCAGCTCGGTATACCACAAATGATACCTCCACAATACAGCGTACTGAAGGAGTGCAGCCCAGAAGTCCTGACAGATAGGTTACGGATTCTGTTTCACTTCTCTGATCTAATGTATAAGTCTTGGCGATTGCTGAATCTCCACTCTAACCATCAGGTAAAATATTTCTTGTGCATCCTGGTTAGGGTAGTTGTAACATGTCTTCTAATGCACTCATCTAACACCAGGGGAAAAATATCAATAAAAAGGGAGACCAAGCACATCTGGGAATGACAATTTCGCAAACTTGTGTTTTAGAAACCTAATGATTGCCAATGCAGTGAATGACTGGAACAGATAGTAGGTTCTTTTGCTGTTTGGGAAGGATGAGTAAGATTTAGAAACATGGTGGCAAATCGTGATCTTTTTTAACACTGTAACATTATAGAGAGTTTTATTTTAAAAAAAGCAAATGTAGGATCAGTTATTTAGAAATTTGTTGAGAGGCAGGTCCTCATTTTTAAAGACCAGGTTTTCAGTGGCAAAACAGAACTTGCCTCCACCATGTTTCCAGGCAGTGCATTCCATTCCCTAACCATTCACTGTGTGAGAAAATGTTTCTCTTGTATCCCTTTTGCATTCTTTGCAAATCACTTTAAATCTGTGCCTTCTCATTCTTGATAATTTTGCGAATGAGTTCAAATTCTCCCTACCTAATCTATCCAGCCTTTTCATGATGTTGAAAATGTCTTTAAGGTATCCCCTTAGCCGCCTTCTCTCCAAGGACAAACCTCTCTAATCTATCTCCTAATTAACCATTCCAGGGGTGAGAAACATTTGGGTGGCACAGTGGCTCAGTGGTTAGCACTGCTGCCTCACAGCACCAGGGATCCAGGTTTGATTCCAACGTCGGGTGACTGTCTGTGTGGAGTTTGCACGTTCTCCCTGTGTCTGCGTGGGTTTCCTCCAGGTGCTCTGGTTTCCTCCCACAGTCCAACGATGTGCAGGGTAGGTGGATTGGCCATGCTAAATTGCCCATAGTGCCCAGGGATGTTAAAGTTAGGTGGGTTAGGCCTGCGAAATACAGGCGTAGGGGAATGGGTTTGGGTGGGATGCTCTTCAGAGGGGCGTTGTGGTCTTGTTGGGCCAAATGACCCGTTTCCATACTGTGGGAATTCTATGATTCTGTGATAAATTGCTTTTGTTCTGTCTCTAAAGTATTCATATCCTTCCTTAAATGTAACACCCAGAATGGTACACAGTACATCAGCTGAGGTCTAACAGGTGTCTTATGTAAAAATTGGGTATAACTTCTTTGCTCTTGTATTCTATGCCACTATTAACGAAGCCTAGAATACTAAATGTTTTATTGCAAGCTCCCTCTGTACATCCGTAGGAGTACTACCCTTTATTGTATACTGTCTCTCTTTGTACCAGACTGTATCACATCTCACTTCAACTATCACCTGTTTGTCCACTCTACTATCTTGACTATATATCCATTTGGAGTCTACATTCCAACCAGGGGATTTACACCTTGAGGGAAAAGGCATGGATGAAGTGTTAAATGAATACTTTGCATCTCTCTTTATCCATGAAGCAGATACTGCCCAAGCCCCCTCATTCTACACAGTGTTCCAAAATATTGTGTCATCCACAAACTTTATAGCTGTCTCCTGCATGAGAAAAGCAAAGGTCACCATACCAACCACTGGTGAACACACTACAATCCTTCCTGCAGCCTAAAAAGTATGTATTGCGTGCAACTCTGGTCGCCACATTACAGGAAGGACGTGGAGGCTTTGGAGAGGGCACTCGAGATTTACCAGGATGCTGCTTGGATTGGAGGGTATGAGCTACAAGGAGAGGCTCGAAACACTCATTTTCTCTGGAACGTCTGGGGCTAAGGGGAGACTTGATGGAAGTCTATAAAATTGAGATGCATTGATGGAGTTGACAGTCAGAATTTTCCCAGAGTTGAAATGTCTAAAACCAGGGGGCATGCATTTAAGATGAGGCAGTGGGGGGGAGTTCAATGGCGATGTGAGGGGCAGGTTTCCTACACAGAATTGTAGGAGTCTGGAATGCACTGCTAGGGGTGGTGTGGAGGCATATACAATAAAGGTGTTTAAGGCACTTTTAGATAAGCATATGCCAGAAATGGAGCGATATAGACCGGCAGACAGAAGGGATTAGTTTAATTTGGCATCGTGTTCAGCACCACATCGTGGGCCAAAGGGGCCCCTTCCTGTGCTGTACAGTTCTATGTTCTGTGTGTCAGCATAAATAGACAGCGTGGTTAAGAAGGCATATGGGATGCTTGCTTTCATTAGCCAGGGCGAACAATATAGAAGCAAGAAGGTGTTGTTATAACTTTATAACACTGGTTCGACCACAAATGGAATACTGTGTGCCAAACCATGGGAAGGATCACAGTGGAGATTCACCAGGATGATGTCTGGGATGGAAAATCTCCGTTATGAGGAGAAACTGGATTAGCTGGGTTTGTTTTCCTTGGAGAACAGGAGACTGAGGGGTGATCTGATTGAGGTATACAAAATTTTGAGAGGCAAAGACAGAATAGATTATGAGAAAATTTTCCCCATGGCAGACATATCTAAGACCAAGTTTAAGGTGAGGACTAAGTGGCTGGGAGGAGATCTGATGAATTTTTTTTAAACCCAGAGGTGGTAGAAATATGGATCGCACTGCCTGAGAGGGTGGTGGAGGCAGATACTCACACAACTTTTAAAAAGCAGTTGGACAAGTATTAAAATGTCAGGGCATTGGCTATGGACCAAGTGCAGCTAAATTGGTTTATTGTTTGTTGGTGGGTATAGATATAATGGGCAGAAGGGCTGTTTCTACGCTATATGACTCTATTACTCAACCTCTGATTTTTGTTTTATACAGAATTGTGAAAGATTTTGTTCAGTTAAACATTTACAGATTTTGCAAACTCGGTGAACAATCTATGATTTTACTTATCGTGGAATGTGCCATTTTCTTACCTATTGTACAACCTGTCGCCCTTGTACACCCCTTGTACAACCTTGTTAGCGACGGTCATTCAACTGAGGAAAAACTGACTTACTGGGTCCTGCCATTATGGGCTTTCAACTGACTGGTCCAGTCAACTGCAACTTCTTCTTACGAATCAATTGTCTAAATTAAGAACTTCTGGGAGCCCCAAAATGAAACATATTTCTAAACTAAATACTTGGTAAATTGCCACAAGTTTCTGCTAGAATGCATAATTTGCATATTGATTAAATAAAAGACTTGCATTTAATTTAGGTATTCATACAAAAACACAATTAAAACTGAAAGTGTTTAACTTTATACTGTAATGCGTCAATAATTTTTAAACAAGCGAACTTCAAATGTACAAGTCATTTTTAGCTTTTGATTCTTATGATTTAAAATGAAAGTTTCTAAAGGCACATTCAGAATAATTCATCGTCTCAGCTATATTAGAAACAATAATGGCTGCAACCAGAAAATCTGAAGCAAAGGCATTACCTTTAACTATTTTGCAGCTGTTTTGCACTCAAAAAGGTTTACTTTGAGGCCTGTAATGCATTTTGTTAAACTAATCATTTGTTACTCAAAAGTGCTGTATAATGATTAGCCGTTTATCTCCATAACAAAAACACAGCTCTTGCTTTCCTCGATTTAGTGTTTTAGGCATACTAAGGCAATCCAATTGAGAATGCATTTGCCATTAATAGTCCATGTCTGAATGAGGACTATGGATCAAACCTATTTCATTATATTTCTTTACGTGACTGACTTATCCATTATAGGGTGCACTCCCAAAACTTTGGCTAAGGCTTAGCATTTAGCCCACAGGAAATTTTTATCAAAATACTTTTATATCACCTATGATCACCTATAAATATGATAATAAATGTAATGTGTAATCTTTAATTTTTTTTTAACCCATTGAAGTCCCTGAAGGAATTCATTGCTTGTTTTCTCTTGCAGAATGCAATGAGTCTTTCCTGTTGGTCTTGGGCCAACACATTTACTACAATTCTATTACAGGATTTCAATAATTGTAAAAAGAAAAGTGTTATTCATAGACTGAGGAATAAGAAAAGCATTTTGGTATTTGAACTTCATTGAAAGTTTTTAATTCTTTCACCCAGACTAATATTTCCCGGTATAATATTGGAGCTGCAGCGATTGCTCAAGGTCGATTGAGAGGTCTTCTGTCTCCAAAAGTCAACATTCTGCCACTAGTGCGATCAATAGGAAAAACTATGATTCAAGGAAAGACCTATGGGCCTCAGATCACCGTGAAGAGAATTACTGCAAGGTATGTTACTTGGAGAGCAACCTCACAAATTGGCATTAAATTACATTTATTTTTATTTACTGTCACAGGAAAACTCTAGAAATGAAAATTAATGAGCATGTTGATTAACAATTAATCTCTCAAAAATTTTTTTAATTTCCATTATTTTTTTTAAATAACCAGTCTATACTAAAGGAAACTTGGTAAATAATAAACATCTAAGTTACAATTTCAGATAATGATGTGCAATGATTAGGTTGTGTAGATAAATGTCACCTGCTCAACAAAGGGTAAGACTGGATGTGAAATATCTCTGGATGCAAGAAACTCAGGAAAGATAGAAAAGGAATGAAATATGGTGGGTTGGCAGTATTTATTAAGGAGAGATGGGAAGCTCTAGAGTGACCAAGGTATACCTGGTTAACTAGAGCTAAGAAACCATAAATGTACTATTACATTGTTTGGTGTAGTCTGCAAGCAATTAACTGGTGGAAATATACAAAGGAAAACAATTGCAAGGAAATTGCCCAGGAAATGCAAGCATTATCGAGTATTTTTGTAATGGGGCAGTTTAACCATCTTAAGATAGACTGAGATAGTATAAAGGTCAGAGAGGTGAGAAAATCGCTAGAGTATGGTTAGGAGAATTTTGTATAGCAGCGTGTTTCCAATCCAATGAGAAAGAAGACCCTGCTTGATCTTGGTCTCCGGATTAATAGTCGTCTCTAGAAAATTCAACCACCTATTTTGCCAGATAACAAGGTGTAGAGCTGGATGAACACAGCAGGCCAAGCAACATCAGAGGAGCAGGAAAGCTGATGTTTCGGGCCTAGACCCTTCTTCAGAAATGGGGGTGGGGAAGGGGGTTCACAAGCTTCAAAATCTCCCCTTTCCTAACCGCATCCCAAAACCAGCCCAGCTTGCCCCCGCCTCCCTAACCTGTCATTCCTCCCACCTATCCCCCCCTCCCACCTCTCGCCCCACCCCCATCTCCTACCTACCAGCCTCATCCCGTCCCCTTGACCTGTCCGTCCTCCCTGGACTGACCTATCCCCTCCCTAACTCCCCACCTACCCTCACCTTTACTGGCTCCACCCCCGCCTCTTTGACCTGTCTGTCTCCTGTCCACCTATCTTCTCCTTTATGCATCTTCTATTCACCTCCCCCTCTCTCCCTATTTATTTCAGAACCCCCTTCCCCTCCCCCATTTCTGAAGAAGGGTCTAGGCCTGAAACGTCAGCTTTCCTGCTCTTCTGATGCTGCTTGGCCTGCTGTGTTCATCCAGCTCTACACCTTGTTATCTTAGATTCTCCAGCCTCTGCAGTTCCTACTATCCCTCACACCTATTTTGCCAACCAGGGAGGTAGCATGTTGAGGCCCTTCAGTGTTTGTTTTTGACCACTTGCAGACTTTAATGGGTGAGCAAATGGACCCTTGCGTCTAGAATTTCATTGGTGAAGCAACGAAAGAAAAGGGTGAGCATCTCTACAGAGCCAACTTACTCAATAATTTCTCCTTCTTGCCACCTCCAGAGTAAACTATTCTGTGAAGAGACTGAAGTTAGTTAAATAGATGTAAAAAAAGTACTATGGATGCTGGAAACTTGAAACAAACACCGAGAATGCTGCAGAAACTCACAAAAGTCTACTGCAGCAGTTCTGAAGAAGTCATGCTGGACATAAAACGTTAACGGTCTCTTTCCACAAGCTGCTAGACCTGCTGAGTTTCTCCATCATTCTCTGTTTGTTTTAGGTAAGTAGATTATGGATCATTTTCAGCCCAACTGTCTTCAGCTGCTTTATCAATGACCTTCCCTCCATCATAAGGTCAGAATTGGGAATGTTTGCTGATGATTGTACAATGTTCAAAACCATTCATGACTCCCCAGATACTGAAGCAGTCCATGTTCAAATGCAACAAGATCTGGACAATATCCAGGCTTGGGCTGACAACATTAATGCCACACAAATACCAGTCTATGATCATCACCTAATAAGAGACAATCTAACTACCGTCCCTTGACTTTCAATAGTGTTACCATCATTGAATCCCTCAACATCCCTGGTGGTTACCATTGACCAGAAACTCAAATGGACTTGAACATAAACTCAGTGGCTACAAGAGCAGGTCGGAGGCTAGGAATACTGTGGCGAGTGATTCACCACCTGACTTCCCAAAGTCTGCCCATCATCTACAAAGCAAAATCAGGACCATGATGGAATACTCCCCATTTTCCTGGATGATATAGCTCCGATGGCACTCGAGAAAGTTGATGCCATCCAGGTCAAAGCCCACTTGATTGGCACCACATCCAGAAACATCCGTTTCCTCCACTACCAACCCTCAGTAACAGCAGTGTGTACTATCTATAAGGTGCACTGCAGAAATTCACCAAAGATCCTCAGGCAGCACTTTCCAGATCCATTACTACTTCCATCTGGAAGGACAAGGGCAGCAGATACATGAAAATAGCACCACACTCAAGTTCCCCTCCAAGCCACTCCCTGTCCTGACTGGGAAATATATTGCTGTTCCTTCATTGTTGTTGGGTCACAATCCTGGAATTCCCTCCCTAATGGCACTGTGGGGTCAACCCACAGCAGGTGGACTGCAGCAGTTTAAGAAGGCAGCTCACCACCACCTTCTCAAAGGCAACTAGGAACGGGCGAGAACTGCTGGCCAGCCAGCGACGTCCACATCCCACTAATGAATAAAAAAAGGATGAAATAAAAATTTCAAGATAGATCCTACAACATGTTTCAACAAAGACTTATACTTGTAATTTATGCATTGCTGTTTGCTGTTCCTTACAAAATACCAAAATGGCTGTTGGTTAGCTTCCAAAGCTAAATGTTCACAAAAGGAAGAACACAAGCAGAATGTTGTAAATATTACTTTATTCAGCTACTAAACAATCAAATCAGAATGAACAAAAACAAAGTTGCTGGAAAAGCTCGGCAGGTCTGGCAGCATCTGTGAAGCAAAAAACAGAGTTAACGTTTCGGGTCCGGTGACAATTCCTCAGAATGACTTTTGCATTTGAATTGTAGTAAAATTATTCAGGCTATAAGGATGTTGCAATTTAAATTTCAATTCTCAATTCAGACACTAAAGCATAGATTCAGAGAGAACTTGCCAAACTCATTTCATCCATAGACAAACACAGTTTGCAAAGTCAGGCATCTGTACAATGGGAATTTATTTCAAGAAAGCACAAATAAAACCATGGCAGAAGTGTGACGTCATCCACTTTAGACTTTTAAAAAAAACAGAATATTTTCTCAATGGTGAGAGACAAGAAATTGCATAGGAGTGTAATGAGGGATTCAAGCACAAAATTCATCAAAAATGTCTAAAGTAAAAATTCAGGCATCAGTGCTGGGACCTCAGCTACGTTGCAGTAGGCTGGTATGCAGAGACAGCAAGTTATTAGGAAAGTTACTAGAACGACCTCACATATCACAGCTGTCCCTTTATTTGGAGGATTATAGTTGATAAATTTTAGTTAGCCTAATCAACTCAGGCAGTCATGGTGATAATTTTGGTGTATCACATTTAGGATTTTTCAGACTTTACATGAAGATTATGCCATACATACACACAGTGAAAACAAGAGTGAAACTTTAATTCGAATGTGTACTTATTTTACTGTGAACAAAATCATGAGGGGCATGGATAAGGTGAATAGCTAAAGTCTTTCCAAAACTAGAGGGCATAGCTTAAGATGACCAAGAAGAGTAGTAAAAGGGACCTAAGGGGCAACTTTTTCATGCAGAGAGTAGAACATATGTGGAATGAGCTGCCAGAGGAAGTGGTGGAGGCTGGTTAAATTACAACATTTAAAAGGCATCTAGATGGGTACATGAATAGGAAGGGTTTAGAGGGATATGGGGTAAATGCTGGCAAATGGGACTAGATCAGTTTAGGTTATCTGGTTGGCATCGACTAGTTAGACTGAAGGGTCTGTTTCGGTGCTGTACATCACTATATATATTCAAAATCAGTATGATTCATCTTCGATGATGTCTCATTTTATCTTGCATGCTGAATCCTCTCTATTAAAAACTTGCTTAATGTAGTTCCTGTTTTAATGCTATCACACAGTGCTGGATCGGACAAAGCCCAACATGTGGTGGGCTTTAAGCCAATTAACACCCAAAAGTTTACACTTATGAATCGGAATACTAGTAATAAAATTTTTGAAAATATAATTTTCTCTCAAACTGTGCTTATTTTCACATTTACACAACTTCATAGCAATTGATGTTTGTTTTATAAAGTTTCAGAAAATGTATTACCATTATGTTAATTTACATGTATATGTGACATGCAGGGGCCGATCAACCAAACCTATCTTCATTCAGATTGCCAAGCAAGTTGTCCAGCTCAATGCGTCTGAACTGAGACTTCCATCCCGAGCCTGGAAAGTGAAGTTGATTGGGGAAGGTGCCGATGATGCTGGTGGGGTATTTGATGATACAATTACAGAAATGTGCCAGGTAAATCGGCATTTACATAGAATTGAAAACACAAACCGAAAATTCATCCAAGTAGATCTATGCCCATGTTTATGTTGCACCCAAGGTTCCTGTCATCTATCCTTTCATCTGATTAACATATCTTTGTACTCCTTTCTTTCTGATGTGGACAGACAGCTGCTTTATGATGCAGATTGATGCCAAAAGTGTGAGTTTAATTCCCCCACCATCTGAGGTTACTATAAAGCTGAGGCATGGTGACCCTCAGGTTAAACCTAACAAGAGAGCAGCCCTGTGGCCCTCTGGGACATTGGTGACTTTGCCTTTAATTAAAATTAGCCTTGAGAGGGAGGAAGTCTGAGTGGTTCAAACAGGCTTGAAAGCAGGTAAATCCCCAGGCCCAGATGAGATGTATCCAAGGCTGCTGTGGGAGGCAAGAGAGGAGATTGTAGAAGCTCTGAGATTAATTTTTAAATTCTGTCTGACCAGAGGAAGGGTGCCAGAGGACTGGATGACAGCTAATGTGATACTATCAGTCAGTAAGGGTGTTAGGGATAAACCAGAAAACCCTTAGCAGAGGAGTCAATAACCAAGGGGCACAGTTTTAAGATAAGGAGCAGAGGTTTAGAGGGAATATGAGGAAAGTATTTTTCATCCAGAGGGTTGTGAGATCTGGAACTCACTCACTAAAAGGCTGGTAAAGGAGGGAACCCTCAAGACATTTAAGAACTATTTAGATGAGCACTTGAAATACCATAGTAAATAAGGCTATAGGCCAGGAGCTGGAAAATGGGTTTAGAACAATAGGATGTTTGACTAGCTCAACACAATAGGCCTAACGGTCTCTTTCCAGGCTGTCAAAACTCTGTGACTCTAATAAAAAGTATGATGTCTATCATCGACACACTAATTTTCAACCTGCTTTATCTTCCAGGAATTGGAGACAGGAGTGGTCGATCTGCTGATTGCAACACCAAACGGCACCGCAGAAGTTGGTAGCAATAGAGACAGGTGAAAGAGACAATTTATTTCAAAATAATGAAAGAAATAAAGTGCATGCATATATGGAAAATTCTTCATAACCTCACTATATTATTTCAAACCAGCTACATTTGAAGAGTAAGTACTGAAACAGCACCAGGGACCCGGGTTCAATTCCACCCTCAGGTGACTGCCTGTGTGAAGTTTGCACATTCTCCCCGTGTCTGCGTGGGTTTCCTCCGGGTGCTCTGGTTTCCTCCCACAGTCCAAAGATGTGCAGGTTAGGTGGATTGGCCATGCTAAATTGCCTGTAGTGTTCAGGGATGTATAGATTAGGTGGGTTATAGGGGGATGGGTCTGGCTGGGATGCTCCGAGGTTCGGTGTGGACTTGTTGGGCCGAAGGGCCTGTTTCCACACTGTACAGATTCTATGAAACAAGTCAGCCAATTTGTAGGTAGCAAAATCCCACAAAATATTGAGATTTAATCATTAAATTTATTCTTTGTCTTATTCATCCATAGAATGAGGATATTCTTGAAAATGCAACATCAGTTGTTCATCCCTAATGGTCTTGGGGAGTTGATGCCTTGTCAATTGTTGTGAGTGTGATATAGATCCACCCACATAACTATTTTTTGGTAGGTTCCAGGATTTACATTCAGCTTCGACGAAGGAATAATGACATGTTTCCGAGTCATGATGTTGGTGTAACTTAGAGGAGAACGTTGAGGTACTGGTATTCCCAAGAGTCTGCTGCTGTTGTACTTTCAGGCAACAGAGGTTGCAAGTTTGGCGGGTGCAGTCAAAGAAGCCACAGTGAGTCGCTGATTACACCATGTAGATTGTACACACTGTTGCCACTCTGGTAGAAATGAATTTATAAAGTGGAGATGAGCTCCCAGTCAAGCTAGCTGCTTTGTCCTGGATTCTGTCAAACCTGTTCGGATTTATTGAAACTGCAGTCGTCAGGCAAGTGGAGAGTTTTCCATCATACCTATGCCTTGTGAATGGTGGAAAGGCTTTGGGAGATTGGAGACAAGTTACTTAACACAGAACACCATGCCTCTGAAATGGTTTTGGAGCCACAATATTTGTCTGGCTGATCCAGTTCCAGTTAGGCTTCCAGTCAATTACTACATCAACCCCATTATGTTAATTGCATCCCCCCCCCCCCCCCCCCACAGCATTCTCATCAATGGTAATGCCTGTTGAATGTCAAAAAACTGCTAGACTCATAACTCATGTGGTTCAAATGTTACTTGCCGCTTGAATTTTGTCTGGGTTTTGCTGTACCCAGCATGGACTGCTTCGTTACCTGAGGAGTTGTGAATTGAACAAAACACTGAAGGAGGGTCCTAACACCAAACATCAACTTTCCTGCTCCTCTGATGCCACCTGGCCTGCTGTTCTTCTCCAGCACCATACTGTGTTACCACTGACTCCAGCATCTGCAGTTCTCGCTATCTCTGACTGAAAATAGCCTGTTCAATTATGATTACACAATCTTTTGATGCAGGGAAGTGTTATGATGTAGCAGCTTAGGAAGGTTGGGCATAAGTAAAGCACTGCCTTGAAGAGCTCAGCAGCAATGTACGAAATGATTGGTCATCTTCCTCTGTGCCAAGTATGTCTAAAGCCAAGAGAGTCTCTCCCGATTCCCATTGACTTCAGTTTTAATAGGGCCTCTTGACACGTTCAAATGTTGCTTTGATGTCAGGGGCAGTCACTGTCTCCTACCCTTTGGGATTCAGATGTATTATCCATGTTTTAATAATGAGGCTTAAATCTACAAACTTCTGCTAGATGTAAGTGAACTGCATTTGAAGCAAGGCTGACACATGTATGAGCAATGATACATCTTGACTTTACAAATGATGTCGAGAGGAGACATGAATCCAAAAGTAGGAATCTGAGACAAGTGAACTTATATGCAGCTTACCAGTAAGTTTATTTCCACAAAGAGTAGATCAAATGGTGACATTAGCCATTAACTGGCACATGATGCTAAGAAACTAAAAGTTTTATGGGATCAAATTTAAATTCTTAGATTAACCCTCTTTATTTTACCTTATTTTCTTCCAGATTCTTGCTTAACCCATCAGCTTGTACCACTGAACATCTCCAGCAGTTTAAGTTTCTGGGAATCCTGATGGCTGTGGCTATTCGAACCAAGAAACCATTGGATCTACACCTGGCACCATTTGTATGGAAACAGCTCTGTTCAATCCCTCTTACTTCTGAGGATTTAGAGGAAGTTGACTTGCTCTATGTTCGGAATTTGTATGGAATCTTGAATTTAGACAACAGTGGGATAACAGAGGAAAATTTCCTGGAAGTAAGATCAGTGCTTAGTTTCTGGTTGAATTTTGTGATTATCTTTCTAACTGAGCTGATTTGTATTAGAATGTTCAAGCTATTGAAATGGAGTTCATAAAACTGAAGTGAATTGATCTGTTTGTGTGTTAGCACTCTATCTGGTAGAACAATGAAGTTGCAGTAGTTGAGTAGTAGAACTATAACAGTTTGATTAAACTACATTCCCATTCCCACCTTGAAGCACTGACCAGAAGGTATTTTGTTCCTTATAAAGAAGAACACAAGAAAGCAAGTACTTACACACACTGTTTTCTAGCAGCTGATTGTGAGGCCATATGGAAGAGGCTTGAGCACAAGTAGTCAGCCTGATGTCTCCTGTGGAATAGTATACTGGGCTTAGAATTTGAAGTACTAATTTCTGAATTGTTTTCTGATTTATTCAAATCACTATTTGACCTAATCATAGAGTGATAAAGCACAGAAGGGTAACCGTGCACTGTGGATGATTATGCCTGCGCCAGCTCTTTTGAAAGACTATCCAATTAATCCCCTTTCATGCACCCTTGCTCCAAACCTTTGCATTTTACCCCTGCAAGTAAAATTGCCTTCTGAAAGTTATTATCAAGTCTACCAAACCTGTAAATAGAAGAACTGCCAAGGTTGGGGGAGGAGTTCTGTAGTTGGAAGAGTTTGAAGGGCGAATCTGGTATTCCCAGAGTCGCCAAAAGGAGTGTTTCACAAGGCTGGAGCAAAGACTGTTCAGCAAGGTGAGCATCCATTGGGACCATCACCAAATGTCAGCCTGGTGTGGGTGGGAGGGAATGGGGGAAAGCAGACCCCTAGTGTCAGGTCCAGAAGAAGCAGAGCCCATGAGTCAATTGATTCACTAATGATTGAGAAGGCAGGAAGCTACAGCCTTTTATGCATCATGGAACTTTATCCATCTCTGACCAAACTTATCAGAGTTTGTTTGTCTCACCTTATTCGAAATGAGCATCTCTTCATGTGGTACCAAGAAATGGCTGGAGGCACTGGATATAGGCCCTGACAACATTTGGCAATAGTACTGAAGCCTGAAGTTGCAAACATTGTTGTGTCCCTTACCAAGCTGGAAGAAGATCAACTAAATCACTGTTTTGCCATTTGTTTCATTTCTTCTTTTCGTCTGTCATTTTTTTCTCTCATTTGCTTTGCTATCAGATGGCAGTTATTCAAAATCCTGCTATTCATACCTCCTGTAGATTCTACTTCATTGACTGTTCCATCACCTCTTTATTTGGTCTTGCACCATGAGCCATTTTCTCTTTTTTTTTTCCCCTTGTCTTCCTGCCTGTCGCAGAAATTCCCTTTTTGTTTTGCTTCCCACCTTCTCCTCTTATACTTAAAACTTTTCTAATTTTATGCCATTCTATTGAAAATACATTGATCTGAAACATTAACTTTATTTCTCACTCCACAGATACTACCAGACCTACTGAATACTTTCAGCCCCTCTGTTTTTAACATCACCTTCATCAGTCTGTTACAAGTTTGTCAAACCTGATTTCCTTGAAGAAATCCATGCTGTCTGTTACCTATTAACTCATATTTCTCCAAGTGAGAATTTTATTTCCAATTATTTTGTCTACCAGTTCCTTCAGCAATGATGTTCAACTACCTGTAGTTACGAACACTACCTCTCTTTATTTTTGTTTTGAGCAGTGTGGAACAATCCTCCAACACTCCCATATTGAAGCACAATTGGAAAGTTGGAGTGTTGCAATTCCCATGGACACCAATAGTAGTTAGGAGTCATGCAGCATAGAAGTGTATGGTGGGATGGGGGTGGGTTGCAGCTATCCTGACAGAAATTTCATTGTAAAAATCAAACCAATGTTTATATAAATTGAACATAAATTACCAAACAAATTGTGTCCCATAGGTACTATTAATTACCATTGCAACAAAGATAAAGGTCTCTGATTTCTCAGTCCCTTCAGAAATGACATTAATCTCAACCATGGCGTCTGGCAAAACTCTGACCTTCCTAGTTGGAGTTTCTGTTCCTTTCTTGGCACAAGAGTTAGCTGCAAAGTCTCATCTGATAGCAACTTTATGGCTCCCAGCTTCAACAGCTGGAATGTCCACTTAAAGGAATATCTTGACATGACTGCCCTGGATTCAACCTTTGTGATCTACTTCCCCACCTGTCTCATGACTTTCTATCTTAGTTATCTTACACCATCCATCTTAAAGCCACTGTATTGTCTTCTGAAAATTCAGAACATTTTCAGATTCAGAGAAGATTCTTAGGGGATTTGACAGGGTTACATGCTGTGAGGTTGTTTCCACTTATTAGGTAATAGAACCAGTGCAGGCATGATGGGCCAATTGGCCTCCTTCAGCACCATAACAATCGTGTGATTCTTTGATTCTGGAGAGTCTAGGACCAGCGGGCATAATCCCTGAGTAAGGGGTCACCAATTTAAGACAGATGAGGAAGAATTTCTTCCAGCAGAGACAAGTGAATTCTTTACCGCAGAGAGATGTCGAGGCTGGGTCATTAGATGTATTCATGATTGTGAGAAAGAGACTTTGTCAGTAAGGGAATCAAGAATTTTGGAGATAAGGCAGGAAAGTGAAGTTGAGGATTATCACAATGATTCTACTTCGTCATTTAAACAATGGACAAATTTTTCTCCTATGTCTTATGGTCAATAGCTGTAACTTGAGCCTTACTATTTATAGAAAATTTAGCATTGTTTGATAAGATTAGGCTGAATATTGTGATCAGTTTCTCTAACTTTATTTTTCTTGAATTTTTTCTAGATGATTCCTTTGGATTCATTTGTTGGTCAGAGTGCAAACGGTAAGGTTGTTCCAATAATTCCTGGAGGAAGTAGTATACCCTTGACATTTGGAAACAGGAAAGAGTATGTAGAGAGAGCAATTGAATATAGACTACATGAGCTGGATCGACAGGTGAGCATCAAAATTCTTCAAATCCTTTGAATTTCTGTGTGAAGCTGTAAGAAATAAACTTTAATTACCTCCTGAAGTTTCTTCAAATTTCATAGCTACTTGATAGCTCTTGAAATTAGCATGGTGGGAGGTTGTCTGATGGTCTGTAGTAAGAGTGTTTTATGTAGACATAAACTATGAGGACTTGGTAACTCTGAGGCTTGAATTCAAATCTCTACTGAGTTTACTGGATTCAGTCCAGGTTTGCACATGCCATTGGATTGTATCCTTAGTCATATTTAATTGCTGTCCAGGGGATTACTGATGAAAAATGTGCACTTATGTGTTTATAAGTAATCAGCAAGAACTGATGGACGCACCATTTCACAGATAACACCACCTATTTCAACTTTCTAGCACCAATGTGTGAATATAAACAGAGATGAAAAGCTGGACTGGTTGTAAATACGAATTATAAATAAACAATTGTCAGCAACAGCCAAGAGAGAGGATCCTTTAAAAGGAGCTGAACTTGTAAGGAGTGGTTATATGTGTACTTAATAATGCCTAGGATCCTTGACTTGTGTATAGTTACAATATCGCATTGTGACAAAGTATTATATGTGACATAACTAATCTATGTAATGGCAAAGATGGGAGAGGCAAATTGAATTCTTTTGAATTAAATGTCTTTTAATCCTGGTTATCAACAATTTAAATCTTAGCATTCAGTAAACAACCACTATTTGAAATTAAAGCAGAAACATGTGATATTCAGGAACAAAAACAGAAGTTGCTAGAAAAGCTCAGCAGGACTGGCAGCATCTGTGAAGAAAAAACTCACAGTTAACGTTTCAGGTCCGGTGACCTTTCCTCAGAACTGACCCGAAACATTAACTCTGATTCTTTCTTCACAGATGCTGCCAGCTTTTCCAGCAACTTCTGTTTTTGTTCCTGATTTACAGCATCTGCAGTTCTTTTGGTTTTTACAATGTGATATTCAACAGGTCTGGCAGCATATGTGGATAGTGAAAAACAGTATAACTCTTCACACATATTAACAGTTTCCTATGATGCTCCCTTGCTGCTAAGAATCTTCAGTATTTCTGATTTTTCATTCAGATTTCCAGCATCCAGTATTGTATTACTATTTGAAATTAATGTGATAATATTGATATTTTGATGCTTGTGCTGAACGTTTTACATAAATTGAGTAGATAGCATTTTAATCCACCACTTTAGAATTAATAGTTAAATTTTCTCCAATTCACTAATTAGTTTACATTGTTTTTGGAAAATACTTTTAAAAATATTTCTGTTGTATAATTTTAAAAAAGAAATATTTGGCTATATAGTATATTGTATATTGTATATTTGTATATTTGCCAAGAAAGCATCCTAGTAAGAGATGAATTCACAAACTGTTAATGTTTTTTTCCCTCTGGTGTTCAATTATTTTTAGGTAGCAGCAATCAGACAGGGAATGTCAGCTATTGTCCCTGTACCTCTACTCTCTCTACTAACAGAAAGACAGCTTGAGCAGCTTGTTTGTGGGATGCCGGAAGTGAATGTAGATACCTTAAAGAAAGTTGTACGTTACCGTGACATTGTTGAAAACCATCAACTACTGAATTGGCTGTGGCAAACGTTGCAAGAGTTTTCTAATGAGGAGAGAGTGCTGTTTCTTCGCTTTGTCTCTGGTCGCTCCAGGCTACCAGCCAATCCTGCAGACATAACACAGAAATTCCAAATTATTAAAGTGGACAGGGTAAGTATTTTGCATCGACAAATTAAGTTATTGACTTCAAACAAATCTTGTGGGTTTGAAGACCAATACAATCTGATACCCAATTTTTCCCAAGGTGTACACCAGGGAACAAATGAGCTTTGTACCCTCAGCTTAATGCCAAGAAGTTAATGGATGTAAGTTAGAAAATTTTTAGTATTGCTCAACAAAGAAATATTTTGTCAAAGCATTTCATCCTACAATTGTTAGGGCAATTTTCAAGCAATAACAAAGAAAAAGGAAAATAAATTTTATACTTTATAAAAATAGAGTGTGGATTGGTTGGCAAGTAAACACTGACTTGGAGAAGTGTTTGCTGTGTAGAATGCATTAGTTAATAATTACTGACATTTAATTGTAATTAAAGTAATTTAAGCAGGTTAACTAGGGTCAAGATATTGTCCTGGGAAATGAACCAGACAATGGCGCCACCTATTTTGTTGAGTTGAAACGTACATAATGCATGCACATATTATCTCAGTCTGCAAACAACAGGGCTCTGTGTGTACATACACAGCTTCCAGTATATGGAAGGGCTCTATATTGAGCCCAACTGACAATCCTGGGTTGGTAATCAGTGTAATTCTTTGCACACTCAAGATAATTAAGTAATTTTTGACCAGTTGCTTCATCACATCTGATGTTAGACATGTCTGTGAGTTTTGCAACAATGGTCTAGTTGGGTACAGTAGAAGAAGATAAAGGGTCAGTCTAGATAGAAATAAGAAAAAGCAAGGGAAAGAAGTCCCTGCTGGGAGTTCCTTAATAATGCTGCACTTCTTAAACCAGGAAACTGTGGACTTGTAAGAAAGTTAAAACAATAATCATGCATGATTTTAATGTGTATATAGAATGGATTATTCAAATTGGCAAAGGTAGCCTTGAGGAGGAGTTCAGAGAGTGTATTACAGATTGCTTCTTGGAGCATTGTGTTGGGGAGTCTACCAGGGTGAAGCCTATTTTGGTTTTGATATTGTGTAATGATGAAAGATTGATTAATGATCTCGTACTAAAGGATCATCTAGGGAAGAGTGATCATAGCAGTGCTGGAATTTCAAATTCAATTTGAGGAAAATGAACTTGCGTCCCAGATGCAGTAGGACAGTATGCAAAGTGACAGATATTTAAGGAGATGTTCAACTCCTCCCAACTAAAATGTATTCCAGAAGGGAAGAAATATTGTAAAGACAGGGAGGACCATTCATACGTAACTAAGCAAGAAAGTTAAAGACATTATAAAAAGGCAAAAACTAAGGCATAACATATTACAAAGGTCAATGGCAAGCTGGAGGATTGGGAAATGTAAAGACCAACAAAGGAGTGTTAAAAAGTAATTTTAAAAAAGCAAAGGTTAATGATGAAAGAAAGCTAGGACAAAATATAAAAACAAATAGGAAAAGCTTCGATAAGTGTATAAAAATGAAGAGAATAGCTAAAGTGAATGTCAGTCCCTTAGAGGACCAGACTGGGGAGTTAATAATGGAGATCACAGAAATGGTAAAGACACTAAATAAATGTTTTGCCTCCGTTTTCATGGTGGAGGGCACTGAAACCATCCCAATAGCAACAGGTAATGCAGAGCTTATAGAAAAGGAGGGATTTAACATAGTTGCTGTCGTTAGGGAAAATGTACGGAGCACATTATCATGATTAAAGGCGTACAAGTCCCCAAGACCTGATGGCCTACATCTTAGGGTTTTAAAGGAAATGGTAACCAAGATAGTGGATGCGTTGCTTATAATATGCCAAAATTCTGTGCATTCTGGAAAGGTTCCAGTGGTTTTGAAAAATGCTAACATAACACCTTTATTTGAAGGTTAAGGGAGGCAGAAAGTAGGAAACTATAGACAAGTTGGTTTAACATCAGCATTGGGAAATTGTTAGCACCCAGAATTAATGAAGTAGTAACGTGACATTTGGAAAGTCAAAACACAACACATCACAGTCAGCATAATTTTATGAAGGGCAAATAATGTGTGCCTGATTTTCTTGAGTTCTGCAAAGATGTAACATGATGGGGATCCTGTAGATGTAGCATATTTGGACTTCCAAAAGACATTTGGTAAGGTGCCACACAAAAGGTTAATACAATAGGTAAGATCTCACAGGACTAGTGGTAATATATTAGTTTGGATGTAGGATTAGCTATCCAAGAAAGCAGAGAACTGGGATTAGTGATTGTTTTTTCTGGTTGGCAAGATGTAACAAGGTTTGGTCCTTCGCCCCCAACTATTTACAACCTATGGTAATGACTTGGATGAGGGGATAGAATGTACTATAGCCATATTTGCAGATGCCATTAAAATAGTTGGGAAGGTAAGTTGCAATAAAGAAATATGAAATTTGCAAATGACATGGATAGTTTAAATGAATGGGCCAAACTCTGGCAAACTGAGTTTAACGTGGATAAGTGTGAAGTTGTCAGTTTTGGCCAGAAGAATAAATAAAATGGCAACTTATTATCTGAATGGAGAGAAAATTCAGAATGCTTCAGTGCTGTCTTGTGCTGGCTGTCCTCGTGTTTGAACAGCAGAAAGTTAGTATGCAGGTACAGCAGGTAATAAGAAGGGCACATGGAATTTTGGATTTCATTACTGAAGGAATGGAGTTTAATAGTAGGGAAGATTTTTGCACTTGTACAAGGCACAGGAGAGATTCTGAGCACAGTTTTGGTCCCCTTACTTTAAGGAAGGATGTAATTATATTGGAGGCAGTTCAGAAAAGGTCATTAGATTAATTCCAGAGATGGAAAACTTCTGAAGAGAGATTCAACAGTTTAGACCTATACTTGTTAGAGTTTAGAACAGTGAGAGGAGATCTCATTGAGTTATACAAGATGCTAAAAGGGATTGATAAAGTAGACATGGAGCAAATGTTTCCCCTTGAGGGGCTGTCTAGAATGAGAGGTCAGTTTTATGCTAAGTGGCAGTAAATTTAAAACACAGTTGAGGAAGAATTCCTTCTCTCAAGGCATCGTGAATCTGTGGTGTTCACTATCTCAGAATGCGGTTGGATGCCAGGACACTGAATAAATTTGATTTTTAATTAATAATTGGTTAAAAGGTTATAGGGAGTGGTCAAGAAAGTCGAACAGAGACTGAAATGCAATCACTTATGATTGTATTAAATGGTGAAGCAAGTTCAAGGGATTGAATTGCCTACTCCTACTCGTAGTTCTTATGTAATGCTGATTTCCTGCCTTTTCCCTTAACCTTACGCATTGTTTCTATTTAAATAATCACCCAATGCCCTCTTCAATGCTTTAATTAAATGTACTTTCACCGTATTTCCGAGTGCTGTGATCCATACCCTAACTACTTGCTGTGTGAAAACCTTTTTTTTCTCATCTCACATTTGTACCTTTTGCAAAACACTTTAAAACTGTGCCTTCTGGTCCTTAATCCCTCTCCACTCTGTCTAGACCCCTCATGACTTGAAAACTTTAATCAAATCCCCTTTAAGCCACCTTGTCTTCAAGGAAAACAGTCTCAACTTCTCTAATCTTTATTCATAATTGAAGTGTTTCAGCCCTGGCAACTTCCTTGTAAATCTCTTTTATGCATTCTCTCGAATTCATTCACTCCTTTCCTATAATATGGTGCCCTAAACTGTACAAAATAATCCAGCTGAGGTCTAACCAAAGTCATCATAACCTCCAGGTTCTTGTACTCTGTGCCCCTATTGATGAAACCAGAATAGTGCATGTTTAGGAGGTCTCTCTACTCCTGGACATGCACTAGGAGAGTACCCTTCATTTTGTACTGTTTCTAAATGGCTGGTTGGAGATGCAGAGTGATGTCAACAGTGTGGATTTAATTCCCATACCGAGTGAGGTTACCGTAAAAGATTTTCCTTTTCAACCTCTCCCTTTACCAGAGGCCTGGTGATCCTCAAATTAAATTATCACCAGTCGTCTCTAATGAGAGAGTAGTCCTATAGTCTGGTAGGACTATTGCTATTTTAGCTTACCATACTGTCTCTCCATGTTATTTGTACCAAATGCGTCATCTCAGTTCTCCACATTGAAATTGTTCTGCTATCTATCCATCCACACACCAACTTGTCAATGTCCTTTTGAAGTTCTGCAGTGTCCTCTTGAAGTTCCACATCACCCTCCTCACATCTTACTATTCTCCCAAGTTTTGTGATGTTTTCAAACTGTGAAATTGTCCACTTACAAACAGAAATGGATCATTTTTAAGTACAGTAAAATTTCAAATGTTAGTTTTTCTAATCCAGCAGACAGGCTTTTCCCACATGTGGACCTAGTAAATTGTTGCATGAGACTATGAAATGGCTACAGCTACGTGAGGATAGCTTGGATGGGCTTTAGCCTCAGATTCCAGTTATTTCAAGAAATCGCTATATGCACATATTACGCTGCCAAATTTGCCACAGTAACAATGGCTTGACTTTGTAGACCAGTATGAACCAGTGGTGCTTGCTGCTAGCCCTTAACAAAGTTGATCTTGAAGATCTGGCAAACTGTGTGACATGGATTTCCCCTTGACTAACATCATTCTGAGTCTGGTGCCAAATTGAGAAAATCTTCAGGCATCCAGCAACAGTGATGTCATCAAGCAGGGTAAATATTAATCCCTCAGCCACAGCTACTGGGGGCTTCTTTCCTCCTGGAATGAGAGAGAAAGATGAAAGGAGGTGGTGCTGCTGGGGAGTAGGAAAGCAGGCCACAGAATGCATGCACGGTTAGTAGTGTTGGGGATTAGTATGGATGAGGTGAGTGGGGAAGTATTGCAGGCAATAGTGAATATTGTAAAGCATGAGCCTTGGTGAGAGCAGTAGCAGAGATAGTGTGAGCTATCAGAGAGAAAATGGTGCCACTTATGTTGGCAGAGTGGAGAGGTGGGGTAAGGGGAGGTGATGGCCTAGTGGTATTATCGCTGGACTGTTAATCCAGAGACCCAGATAATGTTCTGGGGACCCAGGTTCAAATCCTGCCATGGCAGATGGTGGAATTTGAATTCAATAAATATCTGGAATTAAGGATCTAATGATGACCATGAATATGTTGCCGATTGTCAGAAAAGCCCATCTGGTTCACTAATGTCCTTTAGTGAAGGAAACTGCCATCCTTACCTGGTCTGGCCTACATGTGACTCCAGACCCACAGCAATGTGATTGACTCTTAACTGCTCTCTGGGCAATTAGGGATGGGCAATAAATGCTGCCTAGCCAGCAATGCCCTCATCCCATTAATGAATAAAGAAAAAAAAAAGGTCATTGACTTTTCTCGTACATTGGTGTGCAGTCCTCCAGATGGTTGAGACTTCACTGATCTTGGTGACAATCTTGGACTAGGCTGATGTCATGTTCTCCACTGCTGATCCAGAGGGAAATGGGCACCCCATATCTGTACCACTTTGTCCATCAGGGCATCGCGATCCCTGTCCACAAAGGGCAGGGGGCCACCGATTTCCCTTGTATTCTCTTGCTGGAACAAATGTCAGGAATTGTGTAAGGCAGTTCCAAACTGACAGTGCTTGACCAGGTGCACAACAGGCTTTTAGAGATGATGTGAGCGCAAGGGATGCAGATCTTTTGGAGCATATGCAGTTAATGATGTGTTGTTCTGGGAATGGCACATTATCAGATGGGGATGGAATTAGACATGAGGGATATCAGAGGTATGGGGCAGGAAGGAATTGGGTGAGTTTGTTCAGAAACGGCAAGAGATCTACAGATTATTGACCATTACTAAGTGGAAGGGTTTCTCCCAATCTACACACAATTTTATTCACTCAGGTCTTCTTTCAGCCTTTTCTGCAGTCCAGGCAACATCGTGATGAATTTCCTGTACTCCATCTCTAATACATTCACAGCCCTCCAATAGTGCAGCAACTAGAACTCAATTCTGTACTTCAGCTTGTGGCCTAACAAACTGTTTATACAGCTCCATCATAACCTCACTGCTCTTGTATTCAGTTCCTTAACTAATAAACAAGTATCCCATAACCTGCCTTGAATAACTTAGCTACTCATCCTGCTACCTTCAAGGATCTCTGGGCATGCATATCAAGGTTCCTCTGATTCTCTGTACTTGTAAGTATTGTACCATTCATTGTGTGTTCCAATGCATTGTTAGTTCTCCTAAAGTGTTGGGATGTCGTGTTGAGGCTGTACAGGATATTGGTGAGGCCTCTTCTGGAGTACTGTGTCCAGTTCTGGTTGCCCTGTTGTAGGAAGGATATTATTAAACTGGAGATTTATCAGGATGTTGCCGGGCCTGGAGGGTTTGAGTTATGAGGATGGGCTGGGACTTTTCTCACTGAAGCATACGAGGTTGACGGGTGACCTTAGAGGTTTATAAAATCATGGGTGGCATAGATAAGGTGAATAAGGAGGGGGAGTTCAAAATTAAGGGGCATATTTTTAAGGTGAGAGGAGAAAGATTTAAAAAGGACACGAGGGACAACTCCTTTTAGGGTGGTTAGTATGTGGAATGAACTGCCAGAGGAATTGGTGGATGCAGGTACAGTTATAACGTTTAAAAAGCATTTGGATAAGTACATGAAGAAGAAAGGTTTAGAGGGATATGGGCCAAATGCAAGCAGGTAGGACTAGTTTAGCTTGGAAACATGGTTGGCATGGACTAGTTGGACTGAAAGGACTGTTTCCATGCTGTATGACTTTATGACACCTGCCACTGTTTTGCCCATCTAACCAGCTTGGTTATATCGTTCTGTAGTCTAAGGCATTCCTCATCGCTATTTACTGCACCTCTGTCAACTCTGAGATTACTGATCATACCTCCTACATTCATGTCCAGAGAAGCAGTTTCATATTTTGTTTATAACTTGCATTATTTTATTTGATTAACATTTGTTTTTATTTGTTTGCGCAGCCACTTGATGGTCTTCCGACAGCTCAGACTTGCTTCTTCCAGCTTAGGTTGCCTCCTTACTCGAGCCAACAGGTGATGGCTGAACGTTTACGCTATGCCATTCAGAACTGCAGATCAATTGACATGGACAACTACATGCTGTCTAGGAATGCTGACACTGGAGAAGGTTCCGACAATGAATACTGAGACCTGCTATTTCAGTGCAACCATATCATCCTGAAAATCATTCTATTTTCAATTAAAGGAATCTCAGGAGATTAAGAAAACATGAACTAAGCAGCTTCCAAATAACTGAACATTTTTTAATGGATCTTTTCTACTTTGCAGGATTAGGAGTGGCGGCAACACAACATTTTACACCAAATATGCACCAGTGTTACCTTTTAAGGAAAACTGTTTAATTTGACTTTGTGCTACCTAAAATCAGGAATTACCTATATCCTGTAAAATTGTAAAGTAATTCTTTCGTAGAAAGCGTGTACATCTGGTACAGTGACTAAGTGCAGCACTTTTCCTAATTGAAGCATCTTGTGTATAGGACCAGGATGGATGATTGCCAAACAGTAATCTGATTATGGAAACTTGACTAAGTGAATCTGATTCTTTGGTACTAAAGTAATTTTCCAAACCACACTGAACAATAAAGTATCTGGCGTGTGCTAACAACAAGCATGACATTTTGCTCTGTGGCCAATGATTGTTCATAATCACATCAATGTAATCTATTACATGGAGCTGCTTCATTCAGAACAAAAATGATTATTTATACCTTTTGGGGATTGAATGCTTGCAGATTACAAAGATGTGCAGGTTTTATTTCACTTTAGCTATAATAATGATGCAAAGTTAGCTAATACAATATCATGAAGGAGTTTACTATTGCTTTAACTGCTTGTTGAGAGCAGTAGTTGGGAGAAGAATCAAAATCATTGTTTGTACTAATCAAAAAAACTTACCATTTCCAACTTTAAAAATGTGTAATTTCAGAATATTAATATTTGATCAATATCTTACATCTTCACAACATTCCCTGCAGCTGATAACATCACAATATAACCTATTGGTTTCCTGTGATTGGGTTTTAAAATTTGAAAGCTGAAAGTAAGTAAAATAAATTAAAATATTCGTACAAATTTCATCTTTTTATTATTGCAATATTTCCACTAATAGAGAAAAGTGTCGTCATTTAGAAAATATAAAATTTTTCAGCTGCTCTCAGTTATATATTTAGGCATAGTTGGTATGAGATCTCAGAAGAGTGAGGTGAAGACCAAGTATACTGACGACCCTGTTGGAAATTTGATTCAAAATGGAAATTCAGCTGTTATATCCTTCCCAGGTTCAGTTTTAGAGTTAACTTCAGATTAGGATAGTAAACTTTAATTAAGTAAAATAGCCTCATTAAAGGACAGAGTTGCCTGATTCTGGCTGTTAAAATTCAAGTACCTGAACTTTTGTCTAAATGAGGCATTGATCACTATGGCTAAACAGATTCCCTGAGCAGACCTTAATTAGAGAAGAAAACACTGCATGGTTAGCAAGGAGCACAGACAGTGTGAGACCACAACAAAGTGAAACAAAGACCAAGTGAGTCAAGGGGTAAGAAATATAAGTTGGCTTGTATATAGGTCTCCAATCTGTAGGAATGATATTGGGAATGGTATTAAATAGAAAATTAGAGATGCATGCAATAAAGGAACATACATAATTGTAGGTACCTTTAATCTGCGTTTAGATTGAGCAAATCAAATTAATAACAATACTATATAGGAAGAATTCCTATTATGTGCACAAGATGGTTTTCAGGACCAATACATTGAGGAACCAAACAGAACAGGCCATCCTACATTAGGTATTGTGTAATGAGAAAGGATATTTGGCAGTATAGTTGTGCGAGGCTGCTTGGAGATGACCATATTATGATAGAATTCTTCATCAAAATGGAGAGTGATGTAGTTGATTTTGAGACTAGAGTCCTGAATCTAAATGAAGGAAACTGATGGTATGCGGAATGAGTTGGCTATGATGGGAATGTCACTTAAAGGGATGATGATGGAAAGGCAATTTCAAGCATTCAAAGAGCTCCTAGAATTGCTCAGAAACAAAAATAGAGATTGCGGGAAAAACTCAGCCGGTCTGGCAGCATCTGTAGTGAGAAATTAGAGTCAACATTTCGGGTCAAGTGACTCTTCCCAGTTCCAAGAAATGGTTTTACGCTGCCAAACCTTCTAGTTCTTCCCGCAATCTCTATTTTTGTTTCTGATTTACAGCATTCACGGTTCTTTCGGTTTTCCTAGAATTGTTCATTCCTGTCTGAAGTAAAATGGTGAAGGTGGACAAGCCATAGTTTATAAAGGAAATTGGAGATAGTATTAAATCCAAGGAAGATGCATATAAATAGGCAAGAGAAAAAACAACAGACCTCCAGAGTGGAAGCAGTTTAGAATTCAGCAAAGGATGAAAGAGATTTATTGAGAAAGGCAAAATAATGTGCAAGAGTAAGACTGTGGAGAACACAAAAACTAGCTAAAAGTTCCTATAGGTATGTGAAGGTAAATTGATCGGTGAAGACAAATGTAGGCCCTGTACAGTCAGAAACAGAGGAATTTCTAATGGGGAACAAAGGTGGCTGACCAACTAAATACATACATTTGATTCTGTGCTCACAAAGGAAGACACAAATAACATAGCAGCAATGCTGGGGAGCACAGGGTTCAGAGAGAGGGCAGTGCTAAAGGAAATTATTATCAGTAGGAGAATGGTGTTGTGAAATTGACAAAATTGAAGGCTGATAAATCCCAAGGGCCTGATAATCTATATCCCAGAGTACTAAAGGAGTAGCCATAGACATAGTGGATGTATTGGTGGTCATCTGCCAAGATGCTATAGATTCTGAAACAGTTCCTACAGTTTGGAGAATAGTTTATGTAACCCCACTATTTAGGAGGGGAGGTAGAGAGAGAACTGAGATTATAGACCAAACAGCCTGATGGCGGGAATGTGCATTATGAAAGATTCAATAGCTGAGCATTTGGAAAACAGTGGTGGGATCAGACAGTCAGCATGGTTTTATGAAAGGGAAATCCTGCCGAGCCAGTTAGAATTCTTTGAGGATGTAACAGGGAGAGTTGACAGGGTGGGTGGAGAGCCAGCAAATCAGAAGGCTTTTCACAAAGTAGAATCAATAGTGTGGAGCTGGGGGAGCACAGCAGGTAAGGCAGCATCCGAGGAGCAGAAAAGTCGATGTTTTGGGTTTACACCCTTCATCAGGACTGGGGAGGGGGTAAGGGAACTCAGAAATAAATGGAGGAAGGTAGGGCTGGGGGAAGGTAGGTTGGATGGCGATAGGTGGATGCAGGTAGGGATAGTGGGGATTGGTCAGTGGGAAGGGTGGGGCAGATAGGTGGGGAAGGAGATGGACAAGTAGTGTCAGGTCAAGGAGGCATGGATGAGAGGGAGCGTTGAACATAGGATGAGGCCTGGGGATGGGGAGATTTTGAAACTGGTGAATTCTATGATGATGTATTGGGCTGTAGGTTCCTGAGGTAGAATATGAGGTGCTGTTCCTCCAGTTTGCGGGTGGCATCATTGTGACACTGGAGGAGGCCCAGGATGGACATGTCGTCCAGGGAGTGGGAGGGGTGAGTTAAAATGGTTAGCAACAGGAAGATGTTGATTATAGCGTACAGAGCCCAGATGCTCTGCAAATCTGTCAATGAATGTACGTTAGGTCTCACTGATGTAGAGGAGGCCATATTGGGAGCAACGGATACAGTAGACCAGATTGGAGGATGTACAGGTGAATCCTTTCCTGTCAGATTTGGAAAGTTTGTCTGGGGCCTTGGACGGAGGTGAGAGGGGAGGTGTAGGAGCATGTGTAGCACCTCCTGCAGTGTGGTGGGGGTTGGTGGGCAGTACAAAGAACATTACAGCGCAGTACAGGCCCTTCGGCCCTCGATGTTGCGCCGACCTGTGAAACCAATCTGAAGCCCATCTAACCTACACTATTCCATTATCATCCATATGTTTATCCAATGACCATTTAAAAGCCCTTAAAGTTGGCAAGTCTACTACTTTTGCAGGCAGGGCATTCCACGCCCTTACTACTCTCTGAGTAGAGAACCTACCTCTGACATCTGTCCTATATCTACCACCCCTCAATTTAAAGCTATGTCCCCTCGTGCTAGCCATCACCATCTGAGGAAAAAGGCTCCCACTGTCCACCATATCTAATCCTCTGATCATCTTGTATGTCTCTATTAAGTCACCTCTTAACCTTCTTCTCTCTAACGAAAACAGCCTCAAGTCCCTCAGCCTTTCCTCATAAGACCTTCCCTCCATACCAGGCAACATCCTGGTAAATCTCCTCTGCACCCTTTCCAATGCTTCCACATCCTTCCTATAATGCGGTGACCAGAACTGTACGCAATACTCCAAGTGCAGCCGCACCAGAGTTTTGTACAGCTGCAACATGACCTCATGGCTCCGAAACTCAATCCCTCTACCAATAAAATCTAACACACCGTACGCCTTCTTAACAACACTATCAACCTGGGTGGCAACTTTCAGTGATCTATGGAGCGGACGGAGTCAGAGTGAGTGACCAGTCCCTGTGAAAGGCAGGTAGGAGTGGGGAGGGAAATATCTCTGGCAGGGGGGTCGGATTGCAGGTGGCAGAGAATGATACATTGGATGTGAAGGTTGGTGGGGTGGTACATGAGGACCAGGGGGACTTTGTCCTTATTTTTGTTTGGGGGGAGGGAATTTGAGGTCAAAAGTGTGGGAAATGCAAGCAACGCGGTTGAGGGCATTGTGGATCATTGGAGGGGGAAAGTTCTGGTGCTTGAAGCACGAAGACATCCAGGAGTGGAACGCTCCATCTTGGGAGCAGATGAGGCGGAGGAATTGGGAGTAAGGGATTACATTTTTGCAGCAGGGTTCGGTGGGTTTGAAATAGATGTCAGTGTTGAGATGTTTACTGGAGATGGAGAGGTCCAGGAAGGGGTGGGAGGTATCGGAGATGGGTCCAGGTAAATATGAGATGGGGGTGAAAGGTGTTAGTAAAGTTGATGAACTGTTCAACATCCTCATGGGAGCATGAGGCAGCGCCAATACAGTCATTGACGTAGCAGAGGAAGAGGTAAGGGATGGTGCCAGTGTAACAGCGTAACATATTCTGCCTCAGGAGCCTACTGCCCAATGGCTTAAAACATAGAATTCACCAGTTTCAAATCTCCCCAGCCCTGGCCTCATCCCATGTTCAACCTTCCCTCTCATCCCTGCCTCCTTGACCTGACACAACCTGTCCGTCTTCTTACCCACCTATCTGCCCCACCCTTCATACTGATGAATCCCCACTACCTACCTCTGACCTGCATCCACCTATCACCATCCCACCTGCCTTATGCCAGCCCTACCCCTCCTCCCTCTATTTAGTTCCCAGCTCCCTTCCCCCTCCCCAGTCCTGATGAAGGGTGTAAACCCGAAACGTCGACTTACCTGCTCCTCTGCTGCCTGACCTGCTGTGCTCCCCCAGCTCCACGCTGTATTGACTCTGACTCCAGCATCTGTAGTTCTTGCTATCTTAGAATCATAGAATCTCTACTGTGCAGAAAGAGGCCATTCAGCCCATCATGTCTGCACCAACCCTCCCACCCAGACATCTACCC